TGTTCTTTGATTGTTGTGGTTCTTCTTTTTGTGATAAATTGCACTATATTCCTTCAGGCGCAATTGCGAAATTAGAAGTGTTGCCAAAAATACACAAAACAAATCGCTCACGAAATTACACACTTCCTCATCAAGGATGCTTCATGTAACTACATCTTATTCACGCTGATTTTTCTCCTCTTCTGCACCGGCTGTGACAATTGATATTCCACTCTTCTTTTCAGCAGCGATGATGGTGGCACCACTTTCTCCATCTCAATAGGCAACGGCTCTTGTGACAAGAACTCAATTGAATCGGCAAATGAAAGATCCTTCACCTGTTTCGTGGCTTCTGCCATCGGCTTGTCAACTTTTTCTTGCGTCGTATATCCCATAGATGAAGCATTGATGTCTATGGCATCCTTACTCTCATCAGCAGTCTCTTCTTCATCCACTATACGAGGAATCTTATAGTCTCCGCCATAGTGTTGCCTGACTACTCCTGTTGATGCTTGTGAGTCGGGAATCACAGTTCGCACAACCCTTGCACTAAACTGAGTTTCCTTCTGCAAAGTTCTAGCCTTGAATTTTCTCAAGTTGAGTTTGACGAAATTGATTCTTGGTAGTTGGATATTAGGGAAATACACATCAACCACTGACTCATCATATGACAAATATGGATATTTTTCACACAATTTGGGAGCAAACATAACAAAATAATGTCTGCCTTTGACCAAAGGTGTGCCATAATTATCAACGATTCCATCAACCATTGGCGAAAACTCTCCGGAACCAATACGATACTTGGCAGTTCCAGAATCAAATTGACCCTCTTTGCAAACTACGAGCACACCCTCTTGAAACATGTTGTTCAACGCACGGGCAATAATATCAATATTTTCCACGGTCAAATTGGACAACTTCAACAATTCAGCAGTATTTGGAAACTCATGGTGATAAAGATAATCCCATAAAAGCCTAATTTTTTGCAACACAATCAAATCTGGATCAATTTCAAGCCCAAACATACATTTTGTACAAATGATTGGTCTCTTTAATGGCCTGTTGTATCCGTACTCGACAATGTTGACTTCTGTATGACATTTTTGACAAGTTGGAGAAATGTGCGACACATGCTGTGTCGTGGCTGCCGTTTCATTCTTGTCTGTATTTAAAAAACTATCCAAATGTAATGACGATGCAGGAACATCACCAAGTGGATCATCTGAATTGTCCAAAACATCAAAGGGGTCAACATGGGTGGAGTTTGCACCATTCTTGTTTGCAACAAGTACGCTCAACTTTACCTCGTTTTTGCCAGTGTTAATCGAACCAAGATCATTTATCCCTCGTTGTTTGTCAATCTTTATTGTAGTAGGCGGTAAATCCGTTGCATCTTCAAAATGCGGTGGTTGGTAATCCTTGGGACAAGAGTCGTTGAAAAGCAATTTGATCAAAATTGTTTTCTCTCTAGGCAATACATCAAAGGATTGTGTCATAACAATCAATCTTCGAACCATACCTTGGATTTGACTGATGATTTGATCATACTCAACAACCTCAAACTCCATCTCCCTATCATCAACTGACAACAGTACCCTGTTGGTAGTGTAGTTCACTCCAAACAAGTAGCTCTCACAAACATCAAGTTTGCTATTCTCTGGTATTTGGATTGCAAACAGGACTGCTTTTAAATACCCCTTTTCAATTGAGTCTTTTATACCCTCGTCGACACTCTTGATGATCAGATCAGCATATCTGGTGACACCCGGTCTCAATCTCTTTGTTCGGATGTAATTGGCATCTGGCCGTGGGTACCTTTCATTGTAGTACTTGGTGTCAATATAGTTGTTTTCTTCAAAAACATCGCGCAAAAACGTCACACAATAGATAGATACACTAATCAACTCGTGGATTAGCAATTGTGATTGTTGATTGGTGACACTCTGCCTCGCGAGCTGGGCTTGCATGATATAATCTCTTGGTTGAAGTGTGGTAGAAGTTGGTTGTAAAATAGGACAAAAGAAAAAAAAAAAATGAAAATGAAAAAGAAAATTGAGAGGAAAAGTGTTGCAAATTGGGACACTTTGCTATCACATGCACACAAATAGTGTAGTGAACCAACTATTGCGGTAATTCGAAATCTTTCCCCTCTGATCTCAACTTCTTAACATGATCCACGAGTTGTTGTAACCTTTTGCCCTTCAATTCTCCAGATACCAGACGTTCGTACGTCAATTCCTTATCCCAAATAGGTGCAACTAGTCCAGGAGTTCGCAACCCCTGCTTATCAATCAACTCTTGCAAGTGTCGATAATACTCCACATCTAGAGGGTACCCATACAAATGGAACTTGGACCCACTTCCCTTTTCAGCCAAATCTTTCTCATACGACTTTTGCCTCTCGTCCACGCTGGGAAGCTCGTACCTTCCACTATAATATCTGGCAATCAATGCCGATTGCGACTCCGACAAAGGCATAGGAATGATATTCTTTAGCAAAGCAACAAATGTGAGTGACGGATCATAAATATTGAAAATTTGCTTGTATAAATCGTAAACTTGAGTTCCTTCTTTTATAACATCACTTTGCAAAAATGGCATACTGTACAAATAACCAGTGCAAAAAATCACAACATCAATGTTGTCGTGTGTATCTCCGGACTTTGTTACAACAGATTTTTGTTTCCAGTCATATCTCTCTATCAAATCAATGTACTGGATCAAATCATTTTGAAATCCAATGTTGTCTAAATCACGTACTGAAACGTAAACTTGTTGCGCAACAGTGCTAAGCTGGGTCGAGATGTCAACACCACTAGCTGCATTTCCAATCACCAACACTGTTTTTCCTCTATAAGTATTTGGTGACTCAAAATACTTTGAATGGAGGATGGAATGGGGGATATTTTCATTCCACTCAGACAATCCTTCAACATTTGGGATGAACGGGGTGTTGAAATGGCCATTAGCGATAATCACAGCATCATATTCTAAGCAAGACAGTGACTTGTCATCAATCTCAACATCAACCTCCCAAACTTTATTCACTTTTTCGACACGAGTAACATTAGAGTTTTTCAGTATGTTGACCATTTCATGGGGGATAGTTGCGGCATAATCCTCAATGTACTTCCAAACCTTGCTCCTCTCCGGAAAAGTAAATGTTCCTTTAGGGAAGGGGTCATCACGGTACAGCATCAATGAGTGGCTGATATTTGTTTCCATAAACTTGTATATTGCCGAAAAATACAAATCTGAGGTTGTGGCATTCTTATCAGCAATCTCGCCGGCTAGGGGATCCGTACTAGGCACATGAGGATGAATCAATGACTTGTTTCCATTGTGATACCACAACCCACCTATGTGGTCTCTTCTCTCAAACACATCGATTGCTGCGAATTCAACTGGCTCCATAGCAAGCGCCTTGGCGGCAGCAAGTCCTGCTGGACCGCCGCCTACAATAGCAATCCTACTAAATAGTGGCTGGGCTTTCGTCATCACTAAATATGCTTACTTCTCCTGCTGTTGAATTGTTGAGTTCAGTGGAAATACTTGTTATTATATATAGGCATGCGTTGTGGCGCCATAAATATCTGTAGCGGCTTTTCAAAACTCCATATCGAGTTGGATGTAAAACAATAAGGAAGAAAAATAAAACCGAATTTCCAAAGCGGAACCACAAAACAGCACAGTATTACGTGATTTCTCACCCACCTTACCCATCCCCCAAGAGAAAATACATACAGTCCGGTGGAAGCAAATACAAACGACAATTAACAACGTGATACGAGATATACACTGACTCACTATGCTGTCACCTGACTCTTCTGTATCAAAATTCAGAGTTAAAAAGTTCCCAGTTGCAGAGGGAAACGGAAACCATTTCAGTCACCATCTGGTCGAACAAATAGCCCATGAGCCAGTCGCGAAAGTGACTAGCTGTTTAAGATGTCGCAAATTAAAGAAAAAATGCAATAAAGCCAAGCCAGAGTGCTCCAACTGTGATAAAGCAGGGGAAGAATGCCACTACGTCCCAAGAAAACAAAGAGTAACCAAGAAGGATAAATTGAATATTGAGCTGAATGGAACGGAAAGCACCCCACGCGAGACCATCCAGAGCTCGACAAGTCCAAGCATGCCACATCATGGTATAGAACATTTGAGTCCAGCGATACTGGATTCACTGTCGTATCTGAGTAATCAGCCGGAGCAAATACACTCACATTCAGCGAGATTATTCCATCCACAACTCCACACGAACTTCAACATGCCTTATACAGGTATCGAACACAACCAGTCTGATTTGAGATCCATCACGCCAACAACTGTATCCCAGCAACAACAACCTCATCACCAGAAGGCACAAATCGAAATACCAATGCAGGTTCCTAACAACAATGATGACGCACAAGAGTTCCCAACAATGTCAACACCGCCTCCTACGTTGAATGCAATCGATGCTCGAGCCCCGAGCTTTGATGCGTACCCTAAACAAATTTCCAAAGTCTTGTATGGTGCTGTTGGGATAAAAACAAACTCCAATGTCAGTATAATACCACCCATAATTGACAAAGTATTGTTGACACGAATCATGAATGCATTTTTCATGCATACATATAGAATATGTCCAGTCATAAACAAAGCTGAATTCCTCACCAAATTCAACCAAATGTTCAAAGACGATAGTGACTGCGTATCATTGGAAGAATTTCAAGATCAATATGAATTGTATATGGTATTGGCCATTGGTGGCACTCATTTGGAAAGATCGGGCATCATTGGTCGTGAGAAACGCATTTCTGAGTACTTTGTCTCCATGGCATTGTCGAGCGTGCACAACAATATCTCCAAGAACGACATTGTCAGTATGAAGAATTTGATGTTGCTAGCATTGTACTCTTTCTTCAATCCAGCAGAATTTATTGTGTGGGAAATTGCTGGGAAGTTGGCAAGAATGGCCATCCACTTAGGTTTGAATCAAGCAGTGTCTAAACAAGAGTCAGAGCGCTTGAGTGTGCGACAAATCGAAATGAGAACAAGGCTCTTGTGGTCGGTTTATACTATTGATCGATTGACTTCGGTAACCTTGGGCAGACCAGTGGCACTTCACGACGATGATATCAATGTTCCATTACCACAGATCCTAGATGACGAGGAATTGGATGATATAACCACGTATCGATTAGTTATCCATTTGAGACAAATTGAAGGGCAAATATTACGAAGAGTCCATTCTGTCAATGTGCAAAAGCAATTTCATAATAAAGGTAAGTCAGAAGAGGAATTGCGCGAACAAGTATTGCATGAACTACGCACTGAAATTGAAGAGTGGCACAGCAAGGCAAATGAGTTGGAACATACTACTACTAGGCCCAAGCAGTCGCTAGCGTTTAGGGCGCTGATACCATGGTTCACAGCTAGGTACAATCACTTGCTCATTCTTCTTTACCGTCCTTCATACTTGAATCCTCAACCACTGCAAGATAAACTTGATACTTTAGGCAAGGCATGCTTGCAAACGTTGTCTTCGACCTACAAATTGTTCAAGTCGAAATCGCTTCCGTTAAATTGGACCACATTGTATCGGTTTCTTATGGTTTGTACTACAATCTTGTATTGTCTATGTAAATGGGCTATTGACTTGATGGAATCAAAAACGGAGATATGCTACTGCATTGAAATTTTTCAAGCATTTGGAAGCGACTGGGTTGTGGCCAAGAAGTGTGCTGAGGTTTTCAAAAAGATCGAAAACAAGTTGTTGGAGATTACATTGACAGATGGTCACACAAGTGACATGGACAACTTGTCAAAAGAGCTTCTTGGTGCATCGAGCTCTTATCATGAGATATTGAACGTCCACTCCGTGGATCTCTGTATTGATAGTCAGTACATGTATGGGTTTGAGAGTTGATAAATAGAAAGACAGTTTTGGAGCGATATGTAATTAGAGTAATTTGTTAGTACCTCATCTATTCACGTGACAATCTGTATTTTTTTCTCTTTTCTTCCATTTTCTCTTCACTTTACTGGCAATTTGCCTACTTCCACTTCCACTTCTTTCCACTTTTAACCCACCAGTATGTTGTCTAGAGTTGCAAGAAATAGTCTCAGGGGAGTATCTTTACCCAAGAACATTGTTGGAATTTCTCGAATTGTTGCAATTCCAAGAAACTATGCCACCTCATCTTCCACTGACAACGGAGCAACAGAAGTTTTCACCAAGTTATCAGACTCAAATGACCCCAAAAGGACGCCCTTTTTCCAATACAGCTGGGGTTCATGGTTGAAAGATGACAAGTTGATGAAGAAGCAGCGTGAAACTGTTTTTTCAATTGAAGGGTTGACTACATCGCTCAATGATTTGGATAAATTGAGAGATGATTCGGGCCAATTGGCTGCACCAAAGGAAAATAAGGGATCTTTTGTATTGCAGCATAACTTGACAGATGATCTAGTTGGACCCAAATCCGGCAAACTTCTTGTTAAATCAATTGCATCGATTCACGAAGGAAAACATCATAGAGTGTACAAAGTGACATTGTCGACTGGTAAGGAGTTAGTATTGAGAATCCCATACAAGATTGACTCAGATGCAGCAATTGCTTCCAAAATCAAAAGTGAGGTTGCAACTTTGGATTTCTTGGATTTGAAATTGAACTTGAATGTCCCCAAAGTCGTTGCATATGGTCTGGATTCCAAGAACGAAGTTGGGTCTCCATTCATCTTGCAAGAATTTATTGGCGGCGATTTATTGATGAAAAAATGGCACCCATTGGATCCTGATTCCAAGGAAACAGAGAACCAATTGAAACAAGTCATTGACCCAATTGCCAAATTCCAAGATGATATTCTCGGAATAACATTCAACAAGTTTGGTTCGTTGTACTTTTACAATGATGTTTCACCCACATTACAAGCAGATGAACCATATAACGATGAAAAAGATGGAAAGTTGTTGAAACGATGGAGGATCGGACCAAGTGTGGAGAAGCAATTTACCAAGAACAAGAACAAGCTATCACAAAAGACAATCGACCAGTATAATGGACCTTGGGATGCTGCCAATCCAGTACAAGTTATGGAATCAGTGGCTGATATTGAGTTGGAAAATGCCAAGAACAAGCTTGCAATTGTTGATGCTGATGCTGGTGACGTCTCCGACAAGCAACTTTTACAAGATCAAATCACCACGTTTGAGCATTTGAAAGCTATCACGCCAAAATTGTTGAATCCTCACTCAAAATCCATCATGAATGTCGAGAAATTGTTTGAACCGAAATTGTTTGTGCCAGATTTAGATCCATTAAACGTAATTGAATCGAAAAATGGAAACTACTTTATTGATTTTGAAAATACAACAATAAAACCATTCATCTTAACTAGCTATCCAAACTTTGTTGCATACCATGGAGCCAAAGTTTACAATTTGGAAGAGGATATTGCTGGGTTTGCTGAGATGGATCCTGCAGAAAAGCAGCAGTATGAGTTTATGTACTACAAGACCAGAAACGAGAGGCTTTGGGAAGTTGAATTGAACAAACGCAGACACGACTTGATTGCAGTTGCATCGCCACACTTGAAAGTCTTGAAATCACCATACTTGCAAGCGCTTGATTTGAAAACCCCAAAAGATTATCTCTATGTTGAGGGTTCAATTGTCCAATTACAAGCTATGTGGGACGCTTACGTTGCAAATGAGCTCGTCAATCAGGACAAGAATGATCTGGTATTCCCCATAAAGTATGATGAGGAGTTCTTGGACAAGCATCAACAGGACTTGAGTGATTACCAAATGGAAACAGTTTCAAGTCCATTCAGTGCTACTGGTGGTTGGATCCCTCAAGACATGTTTGACACATTAAGGAGCCAGGGAATCATTGTTGAAACTGGCAACGGGGATTATAAGATTGAAACCGATAAGGTGTTGGAGAATTCGCCAACAGAGGAGAATGCGTGAGTAAGTTACCTTGTGCATCTCACTACGCAATGACAGTTTTAGATTGTTATATTCTTGTTTATAAATACTTTTTAGCTAGTAGCTTCACCTTGTAATCAAATTCTGGAGCTATTATAGCGCCATTCACATTGTAAAATGGACTCAACAAGACCTTTACATAAAGTTCATTAACATCTTGAAAAAATTGTCGTATACTATTATCATCCTTATTTGAGTCATAACAAAGCACAAATTTGATACTTCCTTGAGTTACATAAGCACTGATGTTTATGCCATAAAATTGATCAATTTTGCCCAAATTCAAGGCTTGTGTGGACCACATTTGCTCTTCGATAATGTCAAGACTAGCATTTGCAATGAACGGTAGCAATTCCTTAGTTGAAGCTGTGAATTGAGATTTTCCAGGGAGTTGTTGTTGTGAAGTCCCTGGAATTACTGAGGCAGTAGACGCTGGTGTAGCTGAAGACGACGATGATGTTGTTGGTGGTGGGGCATTTTTGAAGGATGAAAACTCAGCTTCGTATAGGGGATTGTCCTGTGTACCTATAATAACAAAGTAATACGAAGACATCTGTAGCTCGATGGACTGATAATGCGCTTGAAGGATGTTTAACCTACAAACATTGATTGATTTGATTGATTGATTTTGAACTTCATCAAATCGTAGAGAAAGTTGGCTCTCGATAACTGAATATTGCGGTGTGGATGTGGGGTGTTAATTTTTACAAAAGTGATCCCAAAATTGTAAAAGAAAAAACGTAAACAACCAAAACAGGAACTACCAATTTTAAACATTGCAGGAAGAAGATCAAACTTATAGCCGTATCGTGTGCTACAGAAATACATACAGGACAGCTGACCAAGACTTCACTACTTTGAAAATACAACGGAAACCAAAGGCATCTCCATTAACTTCAGCCATCCTTTTTTGTTTTTGTTTTTTTTTTGTCTATATCTCCAAAGGTGTTTAAACAAAGCACAAAGTAAAAGAGACATTTTTACAGATAGACCAAAACATGAACTTGAACAAAGTGATTAATCGTCGATCGTCGGAGCTTAATATATCTCAAAAAGATTGTGATACATCTTCAGACGATGACCAAATAAGACCAAACTTTATCCATTCGTCTGATATACCGAGAAAAGTTGCGTACTTGATCCACTCCATATCAAAATCTCGACTGAAACGCATTTCCGAAGAGTTTGGTCACAATTGTTGTGAAGTTAATGTCAATATTGAGCTAAATGCGTTGGTGTGTCGGAGCTCTACGAGGTTGGCTGCATTGTTGAAAAAGAATATGATCTCAGTTGTTCAAATGGACAATGACCCAGATATGACCCTGAGGCAAAGTTATCTTTACTCTATAATAACAAATCAAAAACAAAAGGAGATCCAGCCAGACGTTCTTCGAACTAAGGATGTGTTTATTGTCACTTTGAAACTAGTCGTGTCCAATTTTGATGCCCTGGGACATTTCACAATTGAGGAAAATGAAAACTTTCTTCTCCTACGGTCTTGCGACCCCAAAGGTGAATTGATTGATCAAATCAAGCGATACGTTGGTGACACTTGGACGAATCTACGGAATCAACATCATATCAAGGCAAAGCACGACAGCTCGAATTCAGATGTAAGTGATTCCACTTTGGAATGCAGCGAGGATGATGCATTGTGTATGGAAGATGATTTTGGAGGAGCCAGAATTGAGCCCTTGATTTCCAATGAAACCTTAACGGAGGAGTTTCGAAGAAGGTTTAGCGATATAAGTAATGAGGAAAAGGGACTGAAGTTGAAACACACTTTTCTTGAAAATATCGATAATCTAAGACACAATGATGAGAATGAATCGATGCTTAGAGATGAAGAAGCGACCGTTTTCCGTGATGGTTCGCTACAACAGCGCATGAAACTTTCACCCCTAACTCCTTGTGATCAAATCCATCTTGATGACTTGATTGAAGTTTCGTATGAAGAAAGTGACCAAGAATATACTGATGATTTTCAGGTGCATAGCTTTTTGGCTTCTTCTCCGCGGAAGGAGTTTGAGGATAATGATGATGGTGATGATGAAACAATGCAATTTTCGCCCCTGTCTTCTTCTTTCCAGTCGCCCACCAAAAGAAGGTCTAGGCCACGTTTGACTTCGAGTCACTCGGTTTCGTTGATCAACACCGATGATAAATTGGGGTTGAAATATGCTTACAATTCAGATTCAGCTGCTATTCCATCCTACATTAGACAAAACAAGAAATTCAAATTCATCAAGGTGGGGAAAGTCCAAAAATTTGTCAATTTGTTTGAAGAACAAACTCAATCTCAAAAAAAGTAATATAGTACAATTTAGTGATGATGTTTAAAGATCTAAAATTACGTAGTCAATATTCCTTCTACTCTGACACATCCTCTTGGTGCTCCACGTACTCATTGGTTTCTTCATCCTCTTCATTAAGCACTTCTGCATCATCTTGTTCCTTCTGCTCGAGATCATACTTTTGTTGATTCGTGAGCCCATCTTCAACTGTGGCGGGGTCTTCTGAGTCATGGTAACTAGCAAGTGCATCATCAGAATCTTCTTCATTGTCTGGAACGGGTGAGTAGTCTTCTTCGCCACTTGTCACCAACTCTCCATCCTCATTGTCTTCTTCTTCCTCTTCTTCTTCGTCACTGTCGTGAGCTTCACCATCCGCATTCTGTAATTCGTTGGTCACTCCCCTTGGATGGTCTTCAATCCAATTTTCAACCCACGAACTGATTCGGTCCACATTTTCATCCAAATCTTCAGCCTCATCACTTCTCAACTCGATAACAATTTCAGGTATGTAACTCTCTCTTGCCTCCGTTAAAATCACCTCCATTATTTCACAGTCCAAATTCTCCTGTATCTTGTTATCCTTGTAATTCCTCTTTGTTAATCTTTCATGTAGTTTTGAGTTATCTGTTCGTAATACAACAACAAGATCAATCAATCGTTCTGGAAATATTTCACAGCAATGCCAATCGACAATAGCGCCGCCTTTTTCTAATTCTGGCTCCAACTCATCCAACAATTTGTCTTCATCTACCACATGCGTATCAAGGTTCTTGTCGTATGATTCAAGACACTCTTTGTCCTTTGCAAATGCGCTGACATCAAAATGCTTGAACTTGATGGTTGTTTCTTTAGCAAACCCTCTATTCAACTGGTCTACCAAGGATTGTGAATGGGACGATTTCCCACATCCTGGGGTTCCGGTGATTATGATGTTTGGGATGTTTCTTCTAGACTCCGGCATGACTTTGTAAAGTGTAGTTGCTATATCGCTCTGTCCGGTGACCTGTGATTAAGAAAATATTGGGCTGGGGATGCAATGTGCAGAGACAGAGTGAGAGACAGAGTGAGAGACAGAGTGAGGAAGAAGAAGAAGAAAAAAAAAAAAATTAATTCAGTTCCGCTTGCTCAAGAGAAACTTACTCACCACCCAAAAAACCAACCTTCACCTTGAAACAGATAGGATATAATGACAACTACTGGCACAAGTATAGGCTCTAGTCAAACGACGACTCTACCGTCAAATAATGACACCAATGATTTAGCCAAGTACGGACTACAAGGCTTATCGTCGTTGGTGAGAATGGAACAAACAGATTTCACGAGTTATGCAATTGGCCAAGATATCGGCAAATGTGGATTGGACCTATCACCCAATGCAAAAATATTGAAGAATCTTGCAAGTCCGTGGCTGGAAACGTCACGGAGTGAAGTTGAACCACAATTTCAAATCCCTTTACATCTACAAAATTCTCAATTGAAGGACCATCAAATAGATCCAGCAACTTGCGATTCCAAAATTCAGAATTTCACTGATGAGACGTTATTTTATATATTCTACATGAAACCGCGGGATACGTTGCAAGAATACGCTGCAAGAGAATTGGTTGCTCGAAATTGGAGGTATCATAAAGACATTCAAGTCTGGTTAACAAAAGATAGCAATGTGGAGCCAGTTCTTATCGGCCAAGATGTGGAAAAGGGAGTTTACATATTCTTTGATCCACATAATTGGGAAAAAATCAGAAAGGAGTTTGTATTGCATTACAGTTCTGTACAAGCTTGAGATGTTATTCTTTGTTGTATGTAACTTTATCTACCTTGACTTCGTTGTTGAAATATGTGTAAATGTAAAGTATGCAAGTGGACCCTTTTGTATCTAGGATACAGAATGAAGGTATGTTTGTGTTTAACTCTGTTGCGTCATCAAGTGAATTCTTAAAGTCTTTGCCACTATCGTCTTGCTTCAGTTCGTCTCCGTTTTCAGGTTCTTGTTTGCCCTCATTTCCCGTGGATCCCTTGGTTTCGTTCGTCTCATTAGTCTCCTTGTTATCGACATTTTTGCTATGCATGCCGTCCTTGGTAGTTTTTTCCTCGGTTGCCTCTCTCCCCTTCCCCTCTGTACCATCCCTGCCTTCTTCGTCTTCTTCTTCTTCTTCTTCTTCTTCTTCTTCTTTATCATCTTCCTCATCATCTTCTTCAAATTCGGGCCAATCAAAGTTGAATGCGCCAGTAGCACTTCCAGGATTGACAAAGAACTTACCATCCAAAGTGTAGGCTTCAACTCGGTGTGTTCCACCCCATATCAACACATCCACATCCAACTCTCTTGCAAATGCACTCAATGCTAATGGATCTCCTCGCGGAACAATTTGATGGCCACTGGTGAAGCCAATCTTTAGATTGTCATGTACAAATCGACTGTACATGGGAACTTTAATGGCGGAATTTGCGGATGCTGTTTTTAACTCAGACCCCGCTATCAACTGCAATTGTTGTGATACCAATCCTGCATCATCGTATTCACCTTTTACTATTTCAAAGTTTGGCGAGATGTTGTTTAAAAACTGTAGTGTCGACGTTGAATTTATAATGTTTCCTAAACATACAACACGGTTGACTTTACTATTCGAGGGCTTGCTTTGAGGGTTGGGCGCCAATAGCTTTTTGAATTTTTGCGGTATATCTATCGATCTTTCTGGAATGAATAGGTCACCGATTGCAAGAGTTAGCATTGTTATCGTGTATGTTTTAGCTTGATGGTTGGGGGTGGTTGACACAACATCATTTTTTTATTGCCAGAGTTTTATCACCGAAATCGCGACATTATAGGATCGACTTCTTTCGAACACAAATTAAGCTATATAATAGTACACACGGTATTAATGATTAGTATTGATCTTCTCATAGACTTGAGGATAGTTTCTTTGGATTTCGTTAAACAATTCATCCCTTTGCAGCATCTGCAAAACTTCAGGATCCTTGCTCAAACATACAAAGAATGCAGCAACACCTGAACCAATAACACTCAAAGTGATGCTAGCAATTTGCATTGAAATTAAAAAGGTAAATGCGACAACTGGTGCGTAGTAATTACCATCGCTATTGTACCCAGGTTTGGTAAATTTGAGGTAAAGATATGCCAACAATGAGGACAAATAGGCAACAAACAATGAGTAAAAGTTTAATGCTACATTGATAAACATATCGTTCACCAATGCATCCATACCTTTAAACCTGAACATATCAAAAGTGTCCTTAGCTGAGCGGATATATGGCTTTCCGTAAAGCGCAACATATGAATATGCATACCTGTTGAAATATTGAACTAGCCAATCGATGAAACCAACAATTAGGTCAACAATGATCAAAGCACATTGACCAGCAAATGAGTCAACAAATTGGGATCTCACAATGTTGAGCAATTGTCTTACCAACTGGATAAAGGCCACAATTAAGGAACCAAAACAAATTGATCCAAAACAATAAGTCAAAGCTCTTTTCAAGGATGATAATGCTGGATGTCTTGGAGCCCCTTGGTCTGAGTTTGACAAGTAGTACCAAGTTCCATAGATTCCCGAAATAACAACATGGATAACATTCTTGATCACCTCAGAGATGTAGTAACCTGCAAAGAACACAAACACAAGAATACCGATTAATTTTGCTTGCGAACATGAGCCTCCTCCTACTTCACAAGCAGTGTTGTCGGCATTAGGCTTGTACTTGACATAAGTGGCCACAATCACAACACTAAACAAGATACCAAAACCGGCACTAACCACGAGTCCAAAGAATGCTGTCACCAATGTTGACGGATATTGTCTCATGACATCGATTACAATCCGCAAGATTGTTGCACTTAGAGGGATCCTACTTCTTGATCTCCAGTAACAATATGCAGCAAACAACCCAAATATCAAAAACACAATTGCGGCGCTGTAATAATGCTCAACAAAGTAGAAGATTGCAGTTCCAATGGATAGCACGACATTCAAAACACAGGCAACATAAATGAATTGCTTTGCAAATGCACGTATAAACATGAGTCCCAATGCCGCCAAGACTATAGACAAGACAATAACAAAAGCAAAAAGAATAACTGTGTTCCGGTTCACGGTAAATGAATTGGACGAGCCGTAAATACCACCTCCTTGGTCACCATAAGTCTGTCTCAATGCATTCAAGGTAATACCTGCAACAGCAATAAAACCAGCAACAACTAGTAAAAAGAAAATAGTAAAGGGCCAGTCGTTCAATCTAGGTTTTTCAATCTTGAAGCTCTCGTCAAAGTCTTGTGAAGGTTGAGGTTTTTCGTTTTTGGCATTTTCCAAGTCGGGTTGAACATAGTAAGTGTTGTCTTCCTGCTGCTGGTTGCTGTTTCCACCGTTGTCATATGGCTGAGCACCTGGAGGAGGGTAATTGGGTGGCGGGTACTTGTCGTTGGAATAACTCATGGCTTCAGCTGCACCTCAAATCAATAATTGCAAAAAGAAAGGATGGTATGTATAAAGATGAGATTAAAATTGCTGTAGAATGTCTTTGAAATGCGGCAATCCTAAACAACAAAAGGATGCGAAAATTACACAAAAATTGTGAATCTGAATGACTCTGGTGAGAGTTGTTTGTGGGTGGAGTGATATTGTTTGGTAGGTCGGGTTAAGCAGCTAGTGCAATGGGCTTGTGCTAGTACCAACTCTCCTCTTGAAGTGTAGTAGGTGAAGCTTGTCACACATTTTATACGTTTACTTTATTTTTTATTTTTTTTTAGTTATGTAGCAGTTTCCTCGGAACAGCAACCTGAAATTCGGTCACAAAAAGGGAAATGTAAACAAAACCCAAAAAGAAGAAAAAAAAAGAAAAGAAGACATATGCAGCATGAGGCTTTCTCTGGGTACGTGCGGCAATGGATTGAGGGAAGTGCATCGGAAGGGAAAAGCTCTCCATTCAATCGAGGCTACATTGCAGAATAGTTGAACTGGTTGCAGTGTCGCTTACTTTGCTGTTTTAATTTCGCTGGTCACTGTTTTTATGCTCTTGACCAAACTTTATTACGTCATATAAAGAATACTAAACAAAGATATCTAAAAGGAAACAAGCCGGCCATTTCTCATATTTAATTGAGAGTATCCTCCCCACTGCAACGTCTCTCTCAAAATGCCCTGTTCACCCCTGGAGCAATGCATCAAAAAGCATTTGAGTATGCGTCCTTGGAAGCGACCCAAATTACAACTTCTATTTGACGTACTCTTCAAACTTTTACTCTTAGCACAGTTTCAATATATCCCAAAAATGCTACTTTCAAAGCAACTGACAGGAAATGTGCTGGATTGTCTTTTTCGACAAAATAATTGCATTTTGTACAAAACATCGTTGTCAGCTGTTCTAAAAAGAAACAGTGGATAAGGATATACGAATTGTCTGAGAAATACACTCAGGGCAAAAAAATTCTACATCCTCAATACATAACAATCTAAAAACTATACAAAGTCCTCGTACCTTCTCTTTAAAACTACTGTCTTTATTATTATTTTTTTTTTGCAACAAATTCAACGAAATATATTACCCAAGCAAGATCAATTAATTTTTGCCCTCAATATTTCCGAACAAAGCTTAATTGACTTTTTCTAAGCCCTTATTCCTACAGCTTTCACAAAATTAATATTTTCAACAGATTACAGGGTTTTACGGTCACTAGAGTGGCCCGTATTAGAAAGTTTCCACTTGTAACATTTAGCTTTTGATAAACCCTATGAATATTTTTTTTCTTGAAAATCGCTCTTATGGCCAAGTTGGTAAGGCACCTCACTAGTAATGAGGAGATCGTAGGTTCGAATCCTGCTGAGAGCATTTTTTTGTGATTTTTTTTTTTGTTATTCTTGCTGCAAAATGACAAGAAGTGAATTTTGCCCTTCCTAAATTCTTGTAGCATTCGTAACGCCATTTATCTCTTACACACCCTCGCACACTCCCACACTGTCCCAAATACCTCACCAACCCAGCAATGACTGATACACCACTGTCAATGGCCTACAACGATGGCCCCTACCACGCCTGGTGCAAAGACAACGGAGCCAATGTGTCCACTGATACAATATTGGCCATCTTTGCAAACCTTGGTCGGCGGTTTGGATTCCAGGACGATAATGTAAGCAACATGTACGAGTTGTTTATGACGCAGTTGGACTCTCGATCAAGTAGAATGAATTGCTCAGAGGCATTGTTGTCCCTACATCTACATTACATTGGAGGTGATTCTGCCAATTACAAGAAATGGTACATGGCTGCTCAGTATCCCTATGAAGATGAAATATGGACCCCCAAGGACAAGTTTATAGTCATGGATAATGATGAATGGAAACAAAGGTTGCGAGTGTTTCGAGAGGAAGATTACGTGTTTCAAATTGCCTTGTATTTGCTAATTTGGGGAGAGGCCAACAATATCAGGTTTATGCCTGAGTGCATTTGTTTCATATATCAATGTGCATTGGACTACGTGGGACCTGATCTTGAAAGATTCTACTTTTTAGATAAAGTTATCACACCATTGTATAAGTTTCTTAGGGATCAGCAGTATGATTTGATAGATGACAAGTGGAGCAGAAAAGAGATTGACCATTCACAAACTATTGGTTACGATGATATCAATCAACATTTCTGGAGTCCCCAAGGACTATACAAAATTAGGCTAGACAATGGAATTAGAGTTTACAAGCTTAAAAGAAAAGATAGATTCAAAGAAATACACTTGATAGATTGGAAGAAATCATTATCCAAAACATATAGAGAGAGGAGAACTTGGATCCATGTTTTGAGTAACTTCAATCGAATATGGATTATTCACGTGTCGGTGTTTTGGTACTTTATGTCATTCAACTCGCCATCCTTATACACGGCAGACTATACACCCGACAGGACACCACTAGTGCATGTTAGATTGGCCATTGTGTCTGCAGGTGGTGCTTTGGCCGCCTTGATCTCCCTTTTTGGTGCAATTTCCGAATTCTTATTTCTCAATAGTAAGAATTTCAAAAAGTTGATTACATCTGCAATTTTATTGATTTTCAATATTGCGCCAATTGTTGTAATTTTCATTTTCCTCCCATGGTCACAATATTCCCACACGGGCAATGTGGTATCTGGGCTGTTGCTTACATTTTCCATTTTAACGTTTGTTTATTTAGCAACCATACCTCCTGGTAGCTTTAGTTCAATTTTTTCAAATTCATTTCCCAAATTATCATTGAGAAGCCGAGCATTTTCAATTTCATTATGGGTGGTTGTGTTTGCAGCAAAGTACTCAGAGTCGTACTTCTTTTTGATTCTTTCTTTAAAGGATCCAATTCAGATTTTATCGACATTGTCATTGGATTGTCGTAATGGTCATTTCCTTTGTCCAGCACAGCCTAAAATTACATTGTGCTTGTTTTATTTCACCGACTTGATCCTTTTCTTTCTTGACACATACCTTTGGTATGTTATTTGCAACGTCATCTTTTCCGTTGGATTGTCATTTGCATTGGGAGTTTCCATTTTCACACCGTGGAGAAATATATTCTCAAGATTGCCAGATAGAATCTTGACCAAGGTTTATCATGGGGATTCCTCAAACAGTTTGATATTGGTCATATCGCAAATATGGAATGGGATCGTCATTTCGATGTTTAGAGAGCATATCCTTTCCGTTGAACAAGTGAAGAAGTTGATTTATCAACGTGAAGAAGAAGAGGGAAATGTTAAACCACCATTGTTTTTTGCTAATGAAGATGACAATACATTCAAGTTATTGGCATACATCAAAATAGAAGAGGAATGGGAGAGAAGAATCACTTTTTTTGCCCAATCATTATCAAGTCCTCTTCCAGACTCGTTTCCAGTGGTGTCGATGCCGGCATTCACGGTGCTCATCCCTCATTACTCAGAGAAGATTCTTTTAGGGTTGAAAGATTTGATCAAGGAACAATCTTTTTCAAAGTTGACTTTGCTAGAGTATTTGAAGCAACTACATCCCAATGAATGGAGATCGTTTGTCAAGGATAGCAAAATGATTCAGTCAATAGATGACGAAGATGACGATGACTTGGATGAATATGAAAAATCCAAAGAAAATGAGGATTTGCCCTACTATTGTATTGGGTTCAAAGATTCAGCACCTGAGAATACATTGAGAACAAGAATCTGGGCGGCATTGCGTTGTCAAACATTGTACCGCACAGTTTCTGGGTTTATGAATTACGAAGTTGCTTTAAAGATTTTGTATCGTAGTGAAAACATTGGGTTTGAGAGTGAGGGTGACTTATTTATTGAACGAGAGATGCAAGAGTTTGTGGATCGCAAATTTAGTTTGATTGTGGCCATGCAAAATTTCCAAAGTTTCTCCACAGAAACTGCCGACGATGCCGACGTATTGTTTCGAGCATTTCCTAATGTAAAGATTGCTATTTTGGAAGTGGAAAATGGCACTTATTATTCAACCTTGTTGGATGTATCGCAACGGGATCATAACGGGAATTATCGTAAAAGGTTCAAAATCCGATTATCAGGGAATCCAATTTTGGGTGATGGCAAATCCGATAATCAAAACAATGCCCTCATTTTTTACCGAGGTGAGTATATCCAAGTTATTGACTCGAACCAGGATAATTATGTTGAGGAATGCTTGAAAATTAAATCATTATTGACGGAGTTTGAAGAAATGGATCTTGATGTGTCTCATGGATACATTGCCGATCCTATTTTGGAGCCACCCCCCACAGTTGCAATTGTTGGGTCTAGAGAGTTTATATTCTCCCAGAATATTGGTATATTAGGTGACATTGCAGCTGGTAAGGAGCAAACATTTGGCACTTTATTTGCGAGAACAATGGGCGAAATTGGATCTAAGCTACACTATGGACATCCTGATTTCCTAAATGGGATATTTATGACAACAAGAGGAGGCATATCAAAAGCCCAAAGAGGTTTGCATCTTAATGAGGATATATATGCTGGCATTACCGCCATGTGTCGAGGAGGTAGAATTAAGCACTTTGACTACTATCAATGTGGAAAGGGACGTGATTTAGGGTTTCAATCAATTGTCAATTTCACGAAAAAGATTGGTGCTGGAATGGGTGAGCAACTTTTGTCAAGAGAATACTTTTACCTTGGTACGAAATTACCCATTGATCGATTCTTGTCATTTTATTACGCACACCCAGGGTTCCACATTAACAACTTGTCCATTATGCTCTCGGTCAAGATTTTCATGTTTTTGGTGATGAATATGGGTGCTTTGAACCATAATACGGTTGAATGTGATGAAAATGATCCAGTTGCTGGGTGTCATACATTGATGCCGGTATTGAATTGGATCGACCGATTTATTCTTTCGGTGTTTGTATGCTTTTTCATTTCGTTTCTCCCGTTGATTATCCAGGAGTTGATTGAAAAGGGGTTTGTGAGATCTGTTTTCCGAGTCATTTTGCACATTGTTTCATTATCCCCCTTTTTCGAAGTTTTCCTTTGTCAAGTTTACTCTCGTGCATTGCGTGATAACTTTGTCTTTGGGGAAGCACGATACATTGCCACTGGGAGAGATTTTGCCATTTCAAGAATCTCATTTGCTACATTGTACACTAGGTATGCCAATTTATCGATGTACAGTGGAATTGAGATTTTCATGGTGATTTTGTTTGGTATGATGACTGTGAAGCGGATTGCCCTTTTGTGGTTTGCCATCACCGTATTGGCATTATGTTTTGCCCCATTTATGTTTAATCCTCATCAATTTAGTTTTATTGATTTTTTCCTTGACTACAGAGACTTTATCCGTTGGTTGTCGAGAGGCAATTCGAAAGTTAAAGAGTCCTCGTGGATTCAGTTTTGTCAGAATGAGAGATCAAGACTAACGGGAGAGAAATTTGAAGGACACTTGCTGGGAAGAAATTCAACCACATTCAATTTGCTACTTGGTGAAGTTGCTACGCCCATGATTAGTTTTGTCTTGTACTTGATTCCATTCTTGTTTTTACATTCATCGGATAAGTTGTTTGTATTGGATTTGGCCAATCCATTGATCAAGGTTGCCATCACCATATTCGTGCCATACGTGTTAAACATTGTTGTCTTGATATTGATCTGGGTATTGTCGTTGACCATGGCACCAGTCTTTGCACTTTGCGTAAAGAAAATTGCATCATTTTTTGCAGCATTGGCCCATTTCTTGTCCATTCTGTTCCACATCATCAATATTGAATTTTTATTGCTATTGCAAGAGTTTAGCTTTATTCATTTGATAAGTGCCTTGTTGGTTGTTTTCAGTTTTCATCGCGCTTTATCAAGCTTCATATTGATCACTTGTGTTTCACGTGAACGAGGAGAGAATGTGACTAATAGAGCGTGGTGGTCGGGGAAATGGTATCGTAGTGGGTTGGGATTCAGAGTAATTACACAAAATATGCGTGAATTGATTATCAAAATGTTGGAATTGAACAAATTTACACTTGATTTCTTTTTGGGCCATGTTTTACTCTTGGTCATGTTTCCATTATTGTTTGTGCCATACATTGATACGTTACACACGAGTCTCTTGTTTTGGTTGAAACCAAGTCGACAATTCAAGCGGGGCATAATTTCAAAAAGGCAAAAGAGGAAAAGAAATTGGCAAGTGGTTCGATACTTTTTCCTTTTCGTTTTGATAATTGCCACTTTTATTGCGTTAATTGTGATTCCACCAATATTCAAGACACAATTATTAAAGTTGCAAAAGAAGTTGACAAATGTGGTTGTTGCAAAAGGAAATGAGTGAGTGAGTAAGCGAGCGAGTGAGGGTAGTGCAAGTGTGGCAAGGGAGTTTTGTTTGTTTATTGTTTTTTGTTTACAGAGTCTTATATACAGTACATATATTTATTTATTTATTATTATGAACAATTTTTTTTTTTTTTTTTTTTAAATTTTTATAGGGAGATCCAACCTGTCTATGATCTCTCTTTGATATAGGCAAAGAGTAGCTAGTACAATGAAGCAATCGAAAGCAGATCTACTAAAGAGGTTTGCTGATAACCGGGAAGAGGATGAAATATTTGGTGATGTGGAATCAATCGATTTTATTTCCAATGGACTGAGGCAACAAGTTCAACAGCAACAGCAACAGCAACAGCAACAACAACAGCAACAACAACAGCAACACCAGCGACAACAACGAGAACACAGCAGCAACATTGAGGACGACGACGACAATGGAGTAGAAACGTTAAAAATCAATCAACTACATATCAACAATCTGCCGCTGTTTCAACTTACGCCCAAGAACGAACTCACTTCCTCCTCTTCACCACAACACACAAAATCAAGCAAGTTCAGTGCTGGAAGAAACAATCGTGATTCGAGGGGCAGTACCAACAGTAGCGCTAAACGAATAACAAGAGATGCATTGAGTGAATATAGCGAAGAGAACGATACAGTTGTCACATCTGAGCTTTCACAAGATGAATTCGAGGGATGGGACGAGTGCTTCAGCAAGAACCAGAGCATATACCAACAAATGAATCAGCGACTAATTGCAAAGAAAGTAGCTCAACAAAAGGAAGCAGAACGGGAACAGAAGGAATTCCTTGAACATAAGCAGAGCAAATTGTTTGGCCATAGAGAAGATCCTAACCAAACTTTGAAACTACGTGAAGGTGTGGAAATTGAAAGTGGCAAGGGCCATAAATTGACCAGTACCAATTTGAGCTTGTTAGATCATTTGGAAAATGAGAAGACAATAAACTATGAGCTTACGAGAGACGATGATGATCAATTTGAAGATGGGTTTGATGTTGATTTTGAGGAGAGTATTCAAAGGATCAAACAGCAGCAGCAACAACAACAACACATTCATCAACAGCAGAGACTGCGTCAAAAGATGGGCGCCGTTGATGTCGCAAAGCACAATTTATTTCACAAACAGTCAATGCCGTCATTAGGTAAGAAATCGGCCAATACAATCAAGAAATTCAAATCGACAATGGACTTAAATGTGGATACATTACATGAACACCCAAATGAGCAACTACAACAACAACAACAACCGCCCAGCTTTAATTTCAATAATCGTGTAATCACCAAACTTGACCGCATACCCTCGTTTTACAATAAGCCTAGAATTCCTGATCCTGAATCGCGGATGCAACTACTTGATAAGTATGCCGAACGCAAGGAGAAGGAAAAAGACAGGGACAATTTGGAAAGTAGAGGTAATGCTACTGCAAAGGCAAATTCAAAGAATTCTCAATCAACGGACCACCACCATCATCATCACGGCAATGATCGCCGACGCCATCCACATGCGAAAATGGGCCATATACGACATTTGAATGACGATGCAGCAACTCGCCATAATCTAGGACAGCCCTACAGCGGTAGCCTTGCCAATAACAATGCTCTTCCACGATCGAAATCTATGGTATTCAACAAGGCTCAGAATAGGTGGGAGGGAAACGAAGTAGATTTACTTCGATTTGAACAAAAGCCTTCATTGGTTACCATGCAGGAGATTGAACCTGTTGGAAGAAAAGCTACAATATACAAAGGTGAATCCGGAACCGATGCGTTGCAAGAGATTGAAGATGAAGATGAAGATGGCGAGGGTGGGTTTCCAGGCAGGAAGCGACACGGAAACATGTTGTATGATGAAATCAATTTGAAATGGATCAATTTGGATCGAGATGACGAGTATCTTTTGGATGATATACCAGACTTGATTGAACCGTTGGAGACTATTCGTCAGCATCATAACCTCCAACAACAACAACGACAACAGCAACAGTGGGATCAGTACTCACCCACGAGACCAAGACTCGGTGGTACCAATGTACTAGCCGAAGCAGGAGCAGGTGGCACAACAAACACAATCTATGTTCTTCAATCACCAACTTCGCGACGTGGATTGAGTCAATTCACCCAACGCACTGCATCATCAGCGGACTCGGTGGTGCCCCAGCAAATGCAACAAGTGCAACAACAACACCCACGACTCGGTATGTCGAGATCCACTTTACTTCGCTCCCAATCTTCATCTTTGGGCGTGAACAAGCAACAGCAACAGCAACAGCAACAGCAACAGCAACAACTATCTCACCCATATAGTATAGCGAATGACCATGATCTTGCTGATGTTGATGTCGGTCTCAAACACGTCCCTCCAGTATCTCAAAGATTGCAAGAGAAATTCATCAAGGAAGAAGCGAAATTAAACCGCAAGACCAATCATTGGTTTATTGATGATAATAATGACGTCAAGTTGGATTACTATTGGGAGATTCGGAAATTGATCATGGAGGAATGATGACCAAGCGCAGAGAGTGCAACCTGTTTTTTTCTTTTTTTGTTTTTTTATGTAATATTATTATGAAATATAAATGTATACCCCAAAAGAATGAATTTTTGCACTTTTTTAATGTATCTTAATATCTCTCTCTCTATTTTTTTTTTTTTTTTTTTTAATTTAGTTTTCAATGTATACAAAAGGGAAAATTTATACGTGATTTATATATATATATTTATGTATGGGTGTTGTCTAAATCAAGACGAAACTGAAACCAAGAACCATTGAAAGGGCAACAGCACCAAGTTTAGTCAAAGTGGAAACACCAATCATGCCACCAGCCACGGCACCACTCAGTTTACCTGAACTGGATGAAGATCCACTCGATGAAGAGCCACTTGAAGATGAGCTGGAGCCGCTTGAGCCGCTGGAGCCACTCTTTGGACCAGAGTTTTGGTTTCCAGTTCCATTTGAATCGGTTTCTTGTGAAGTATCAGTTCTGACTGATCCTGAAATACTTCCTACACCAGAGGAACCAGCAGCTTTCAAGTATGCAGAACATGAGGAAGCAGTGGATGCACCTTTTCTCAATGAACCTGATCCGCTAAAGCTACAGGCTGATTCGTTTTCATTTTGGTCCTCGTAGTAAAGGTTCAAGACAAATGACAACTTGTCCTTGGCGGAACATGGGGAGTAAGCACCATATTTACCAGTAGTACCATTAGCACTGATACCACTACAATCAATCTTGGCACAAACGTAAGCGTACATGTCACTGTAGTCACTAGAATCAACCTTGTCGGAAACAACACACTTCAAGGAGTTGGCCATACAGTCACAAACGTCCTTATCTGGGGTTGGTGGCAATTCAGTAGCAGCAGCCCAAACAGAAGTGGAAGTAGGACATGAAGTAGCACTAAGGGAGCTAGCACTTTCAGCAGAAGCTTGAGCAGAAGATGGACTGATTTTTTGAATTTCAGACTTGTAGTTGTTGTAGTCATCCAAAGTGGAAACTGAGTCACCACTGACTGAAACCAAACCATAGTTGTTTTCTTCTTCAAAGTACAAGTAAACAATACCACCCGACCAGACTGGAGTCATGTCATCTCCAAAGATTGCTTGAACTTCAGTAAACAATCTTGGGGATACTTCGTTACAACCATATTCTGAGAAAAAGATGGGGATACCCAAGTTCTTGTAGTCTTCAGTAGCGGTTTCGTAACCTGAAGTTTTGAAACTGGACTTACCACACCATTCATAGTTGTTGATACCAAAGAAATCAGCTCTTGCGTCTTCATCACCACAAGCGAAATAATCAGCCAAAGCAACTCTAATAGCAGAGTGATCGTTTGAAGAGTAACCAACTGGGATAGCTCTGTAGTCCTTGGCCTTCATATAAGCCTTGGTGTCTCTAATAGCAGCTTTAACGAAAGCAGAGGCATCAGTGTTTGTTTCATCGTTTGTGACTTCGTTACCAGCAAAGAAACCCAAGACATTGGTGTAGTTGTGGAAGGCATCAACAACTGAAGTGTATCTTTGAAACAAATCCAAAGTCCATTGAGGATCTTTTCTGTTGATGGATTCATCAGGTTGCGACAAGTCAGCAATAACATAAATACCAGCTTCTTGCAAAGCCTCCATACATTCAGTGTGGTCAGCACTAACATTCAAAGCATAGACTCTAATGACATTTGTGTCGATAGCACTCAAGTATGGAATATCTCTTTTACAAGTGGATGGATCAGCCAATGGATCAATAAACGAGTCAGATGAGTTCAAGTTGTTTTGTTGGTAAGCAATACCCTTCATAAAGAATTGGGAACCATTGTTTGAGTAGAAAAATTTGTTTCCAACAATTTCAATGGTTGGCAAATCTTCAGCAACCGCAGTGGAGACCAAAGAAGTAGCAGCGATAAAAGCCGACGTGATTAGCGATTTGAACAACATAATTTATAGTTTTATGTTAGATGTTATGTATATGTAAGGGGAGGGGGGGAGGCGGTGGGTAGTGTGGAAATATTATTTTCTTGATTTAAGGGGAGTTGTTGTTGATACAAGAAAAAAAAAAAAAATTATTGGCAAAGAAAAGTCAAGTCTTGGGACTGGTTGGTGGATTGATTTATTGGCGAAGACTTTTTCTTTTTGTTTCTATTGAAAAACGAAAGGAATGAGTTTTGGCAAAGTGATGGATTGTTCTCCAAAGTAGTAAAACGATGGTGGATGTAAAAGGTTTTCTTAAGAAGAAGGAGAAGGCAGATTACGAGTAATCAAGATGGACTGAGCGGGACAGAGAAATTGAAGTGGGTTTTTATATTTGCATCTCTCACACACACACTAACACACTCTTTCTCTCTTCGTGAGGCAACACAGCCGACATATGAAGAAATTAAAAAAAAAAAAAAAAAAAAAAAAAAAAAAAAAAAAAAAAAAAAAAAAAAAAANAAAAAAAAAAAAAAAAAAAAAAAAAAAAAAAAAAAAAAAAAAAAAAAAAAAAAAAAAAGCAAAACAGAAAAGAAATAAATAAACAAACCGACACAACAGACAACAAAATCAAATCAGACACAAATCAAAAAATGTATAGTTATATAAATATATATATATATATATATATAACTTCAGACACAAAACAAGAAGCCAAATGCAATAATAGTAATATGTGATCCTCTTTCAAGTCCCTCTTCTACATCCTATGTCCCTTCCTGGCTCTCTGTTGAACTGCATACGAGCACCACTTTATACGTGGAATACCTAAATGCTTTTGCTCTTTTGTTTGTTGTTCTTGTGTTTTTTTTTTTTTTTTTTGTAAATAATTGGAAAAACTTGTCGAGGAAATTTTATGAAAGGGGAGAAACAGAAACAGAAACAGAATATACACGGTAGAAGGTACACGACTATTTTTTTTTCTCAAAATTACTGAATATTTGTAAATTGGAATATTACACAAATGTTTAGGAGAAAAAGAGATGATTTACATACAGGACTACCGTTTACTTTGAATGTCAGATATTACTACCACACACACACACACACACACACACAGTCTCAGTCTCAGTCTCAGTCTCAGTCTCATATGGTAACACCTATAAGAGCTAAAAAAAAAAACAGAGTAACATTGATGGCACAGCAATAGCAAGTATAAAATAGATACAATCGGTTCTTCTTTGTTACAAATGTGTTCTTCAATCACACACACACACTCTCTCTCCCTCTTTCATTCCCTTGGTAGTAAATATGCGTTTTGCAAGGCTTACCATTCCCCATCTCTTCCTCCAACGCAAAGCTCGCAACTGGATCCTTCGGCAAAATTGCTGATGGTTACCCGACGAGTAAAGGGTCGAATTTGTGTAACGGAAATCTCGTCCAATTAGACCCGGATTTGGACAAACAATAAACAATTAAAAAAAAAAGAATAAACACAAATGTCTTTTGACACTAATTTTTTATCATAATGTACACTACCTTTTGAGCTATTTTTTTTTTTTTGTTGCTTTGGTGGCTGTGTTTGTTGCAAGCATTCAAAAAGTAGAAAGATATGAGTAAAAAAAATAAAAGCCTCCAGCGTTAGTTGTTTAGTTCGTAAACCAGCGCTGCAATGTGGATAGTTTCATTGCCTTTTTATGTCCACACGATACTCAAGAGAGAGAGGAGGAGAGTATTTGAAACGTGGTTGGTTTTTGAAATTTTCATAGTCAATGAATGGAGAAAAGGAGCCACCCCTGACAAGAAAAATACCAAAATGAGAGATAGAGAGAGAGAGAGAGAGAGAAAAAAGCATTATGAGAGAGATTATAACTGTACACATTAATCAATTGCATTATACACTACTGCATTGATTAATTAGAATAGGTTACTACTGTCTCTACTTCCACAAGTATTGCTTTCTCCTGCTATCTATCTCTCTACCTCTTCCATTTTGTCTCTTTCTCTCTCTTTCTTCTGATACTTTTTTTTTTACCTTAGAAAAACACCACAAAGTAAAAATTTAGTTTCGCGTTTGTGCTGCATAACGCGACTCGTCCTAATTTCTTAGCAAACACTCTCCTCTTTTTCTTCTCCTTTTCAAAACAACCATCTAATTTAACCCAAATCAGGAAGACTGATTAAATCAAAGGGTTGCATGGAAACTTGACAAGAGGAGCACAAACTTGGTTAGATCTGCTACACTCTTAGCCCTTTTTGGTACTTTCCTCTCCCTTCCCCTCCCGCCCGCGCGCCCGCCCGCCCGCGCGCCTGTGCCAGTGCCAATAACCTTTTCTGCGTACACAGCAAAGAAGTTTATTCTATATTTAGAAGTAAGATTATTTGCAGGAACTTCAACACGTCGTGCGACACATTTGGCAAAAAACCACTGCAGCCACAAACTCACGTCGTGCTAGTCCTAATTCGATCAAGCCTTGTTTTGCCTCTTTGATCGGACCTAAATGCCGACGACAATGAATTTCGAACCGAAATGTAATAAAGGGCAATTATAGAGCGCAAAATGAAGTCCCCCAGCAACTTCATGTATACCTTTTCATTCCAGTTTAGTTTTTTTGTAATCCAGGTAATTCTCAGTCAAAGTAGAGAATCATATTACAATTGTGATTAGGCGTCTATTTTTTATGCTAAAATTGTTGCAAAAGTATCTTCTGTATCAGTGCAGAGTTATTTAGAGAAATAATCACGAGAAAACTAGCTTATACGTATATTGAGCAGCTCAAAAATACTCTATAGACTAGATGTAACTAACCGAGTCATCTTTGCTTCGAGAATGTAAAACATGGTCCAAGAAATTAGCCCGTTTGAAAAAGTTGGTAGACGCTACCACTCCCAGTACTGGATTTTTCATTCAACTAAAGTGAAGGAGCGACCAATCGGAACAAATTGCATTAGTTATACCCACCAATCAAACACAGAATGTCACAGCAACATCTCGAGACACCTTCATTCGACAATAACTTAGATAGAGGAAGAGATTTCGCAAAAGAAACACAACTACAACAACAAAAACAAGAACAAGCAGAAGAAGAAGAAGAAGACTTTCCGTTCCCTGTATCTATATCAACTACCGACTTCAAAAACTTCAACAACGACCCCGGTGCAATTGATCAATTTCTCTATAAATCGCATCGGTTCACGTCCCTCGATGTTCTAATCAAAGAGCTAAAACAACTTTCATCCACATTGAATCAGAACCTACTAGATATAGTCAACCACGACTATACCGACTATATCAAACTAGGTAAATCGATAAATGGAGGCGATGATTTGATCAATTCAGTATCGGAAGATTTAAAACAATTCAAATTGCAATTGCGCCAATATAGTGACAAGTTTGCCAGTATGGATCAGTCGATTGGTGCAGCTCTTGAATTGCGCAAACAATTGATTGAGTTGAAGAGTATAGCTAAATTGCAACTCTTGTTGCATGATCAAATTGAGGATTTCGAACACTTGATCAAGTTGAAGGATCCAATAAGTTTGCAAAACTTGCAAAAGATCACTGCTTGCTATCTTTCAATCATTAATATCGATAAACATTTGTCGAAGTTGGTTGTTAATGGGGATGTCAACAATGGGGGTGGCGACAACAATGGCAGTGGTGGTGTTTTAAATGGTATCAGCGAAAATGCCAGTGGTGATGAAAATGGTAATACCAATGTCAATGCAATTGAGAAACAAAACTTGTTTCAACAACAGTACTTGGATGGGAAGGTAGCATCAGTAGTCATGGAGTTCAAGAGTTTTGTCCATCCGTTGATGACTGATATCAAGAGAAAGAGAATCACTGAACCTGATTTAGTGATGCAAGTGTTGAATATCCAGAAATTGATTGCAAATGAATAAAGTCACCACCGCTAGGTGGTTTTTTTTACATGCACATAATGGAAAGGCCTTTCAGAGAACAGGCTATCACAATTTAAAAACACTTCTTCAGCATAAATTTGATGGCCATCACGATTCAATTGAATGTTTATCGAATGGAGTACCACTATGTTGATTGAAACTTGATTGTGCACACGCTGTTGCATTATGCAATCTACAGTGCATCCAATCGAGCACTATAATGCAGCCAGAATAAACATGCCGTTAAACCATTATCACAAATTGCCATACTGCTTCTAACATCCCCAGTCTCATCATTAGTGCCAATCCCTCTTTTCCCTTCTCTACTACAATAACGTACACGGTTTCGCATTGTCTGTACAGAGAGGCTCATAAGAAGTATACACTCATCTTTAGATGAAAACAAATAACAAGGATGCTCATTGACACAACAACGGTGGCAGAACTGTGTGTTTTAGAATCTACAATCTACCCTTTATCGACTCCATTTATGTCGTTTGACAGTAGCAATCTTCACTCTAGTACAATAACGTAAACGGGACAACAAAATAAAGTATACTTTTTGCGTCACTGGAACAACAATACAAAAAAAAAAAAAGAAAAAAAAAGAAAATTAAAAGCCAACCTAGAGCAAGCGCTTAGTACGCCACCCGCTCTCCGTTCGAGCTGCGTCGTCGGAGACGAACAACAACAACAAGAACAACAACAACAGCGAAGGGCGAAAAATTATTTATTTATTTTTTTTTTTTTTCAAAAAGTCTAGACCGGACAAATTATCCTTTTCTCTTACACACACATACATCAGTTGCAAAGAATGTCTTCAACCACCGGCAATCCATCATCAGGTACATCATCTGGTGTTCGTGCACACGAGTCCGGCAATACGGCTTCATTTCAGCCTAAAATCGAGGAAATTGTCGACGACAATGATGATGACAATGATAACAATGTTGCTATTGGCGCTGATATTAAAGACAAAGAGAGTGATGAAATTGCATTCTTGGATATCTATATCCGATTCAATCAAGATCAAGAACGAGACTATTGTTTCCAAATCAATACCAAGACGACATTTGGCGATTTGTTTAAAATTTTCAAGACGTTGCCAATTGCATTGAGACCCAGTGTTTTTTATCATCCACAGCCAATTGGGTTTCAGAAATCTACTCATCCGGGGTACTTGACCGAAGATGGTAATTTGTTGTTTGATGATGATGCAGGTAAACAAGTGTCTTTGATTATCCCAAGTGATGAATTGGTTAATGTTCACGTTTGGCCGGGACAATTGATTTTGCCAGTTTGGAAGTTTGATTATGTGACGTGGTATATTGTTCTTGGATTGTTGGCTGGCTGGTTATATACCGATTTGCCAGATTTCGTTAGTCCTACTCCTGGTATTGGGTTGACGAGCTGGGGTACCAAGTTTCTTGCTTATCTTGCCAAATTAGTTGGGTTTGTTAATGTTGAACGTGAATTGCTCAGGGACTTGGAAGAGCCAACTTCGATCACGTTGCAATGCTTTTTTTTCGGGTTCCATATTCTTAAAGTCATTGTGCTTTTCTTGTTTTTGTTCACGGGAGCATTCAATCCAATGAAGCTTTTCCGTTTACCAGGTGGTGTGAAATTGGACGTCACTCAGGAAGAATTGCTTGCTTTAGGATGGACTGGAACTAGAAAAGCCACTATTGATGAGTACAAGGATTACTATAGAGAAACCAAGATTAAAGAATATGGCGGGTTAGTACCAGCTCACCAAAAGGGATTGTTCAACACCATTAGACATTTGGGTGTTCATTTGAAGGAAGGTGAAGGTTTCAACACTCCATTGACTAAACAGTATATGGAAGCTACTGTTAAGCAATTGGAAAAAGAAGCCAAGGAAAACCCGCAAGATTTCAAATTACATTTGAATTACGAATGGTTTGCCGTCTTGGGTTACACATTTGCTAAATTTGCCGAAGGATTGGACACTAAACTGACTGCAGAGTTGATTAAACAATTTAGAAGATATGGATTGTTTTATAGTGATGCTACTATTAGAAATATTATCAGTGCTAGAAAACATCAAGATCCTCAAGTTGCTCAAGATATTGCTGATTTACCACAACCAAGACAAAATACAGAGGCAAGTCAAGAACCTACTGAAGCTGAAATTAAGGAGACTATTGATGAGGCTATTAGACAGACCCATGGCGAATCGAATTAAGTTGTGGGTGCTGTAGGCGGCAAGGGTGCATCAACTAGGAGAAAAGATTTTGAAGAGGTTGGATGTCTGTATAGTTTACGTGTAGTAGATAGAGTGTTTATTCTTTGACTGTACAAACGCCGGTATATCACACTCCACCTCTACCAACATTGTAGCTTCATTTCCATACCAATAAAAGAGTGAAGTAGGTACTCCCCTCCCCCTTTTTTTTTTCTTTCTTCCAAGTGGTTACAAAACACAAAGAGTAAAACGATTTGCCAACCAGAGGCGGCGTATCTGCACAAGCAAAACCACATTTACGACCTTTTGCAACATCTTGACATATCAAGAAAAAAAAAAGCCATAGAGGGGGAGGAAGAGTGATACGGCGGTACACTCTCGTTAAAATGCATAGCTTTAAACCGCACTACGCAACTCTTTGTAGATCTTCATCACCTCTTTTTGTTTCGTTCAGGAGTCAAGAATTGTTACATGTATAAGAGATTCTTGATCTCTTCAGTCAGCCTTGGACCGGAAAAAAAAAAGAAAAAAAAAAGGGAGCACCAAACGAGTGAAGTAAACTCTTTTTATTCTATGGGGCGTTTGGGTTATGAGTTTGTCTCTCTCTCTCTATCTCTCTCTCTCTTGCGTACCGTATAAACAAAGGGGCAGAGAGTAAAGAATACTCAACTGTGATTGACTTGTTGAAGTCTCATTACTATTTAAGGATTCGGGGTGAATCTTTTCTTTTGTGTTGGCTGGGTGTGTTTACCATTATTCTTTTTTTTTTTTTTTCAAGTTGAAGATAGACTTTGTTGGGTGGGGAAGAAGAGGGGAGGATTTTTTTTTTCTTTTTTTGTGGAGTTTGTTGAGAGAGCAAGAGAGAGAAATACGAAGAGGAATAACTGCACCGCTAATATCCACCACTGAAATTCTTTGTTTATATTGTTACTGTGTGGTAGAACAGTATGACCATGTGTTTATCATCATCACAGTTCTCCTGTTTTCTTGAAGGAAGTGGTCATCTATGAAAAAGAGAGAGACAAAAGTTATACAGAATTGTATCTGTACAAATGATCTTTTATTGTTCCCCATATTCTTTTTAATCTCCCCACTTTTTACTTTCTTTTTTATTTTTTTTTTTATACTCCATACAGGTTACACATCATTATTTATTATTTATTAATATATTAATATATATTCTTTGTATTGTGTTTTTAGCCTCACCCTTTTTTTTCGTACTTACTCCTATTCTGTTCTGGATTATATACAGTCCTAATCTTTATAATAATCGAATAAATAATATTGAGGGGGGGGGGGAGAGGTGGGAAGACACACCCTTTATTCAAAGCTGTCAGATGATGCATAGATAAACATACATACATACATACATACATATATATATATATATATATCTCAATAACACCACGTTTTTCCAACTGACTCCAACAACTCCAATTACTCCAACAAAGATGGCTGCTGCTTGTATCTCGTCACTACAACTACAACCACCACCATCTTCTACTTCACACACCACTACCAGTACACTACCCTCACCTTGTGAATCATGTATCACGTTAAACCCTTTGTCAGTGGTGCTGCAACACTTTGACTCGAGGTATTTGTCCACCTACTTACAAGCCAGACTAGCAGTAATAAAACAGGAGACTGACCGTACTCGGCTAAGGAATATAAACAATCTTTTGCAACCCGCTGAACAAGAGGACGAAGCAGAGGACAACTCTGAGCAACTTCGTCCTACTTTATCCAATTTGCAACAGACTGAAATCACCATGATTTACAACCATCAAGAAATCACTATAAAACTAAACTCAATACTAAGCCTAATCAACACCTACGCAAACAATGACATTACAATTGACCAACTTACAATCAACCATTTATTCTTGTTCTTGTTTTACCATCAACTTGTATTATTTCCATCCAGACAACAACAAGTCTTTATCGGTCAATTCAATATCATACACTTGGGGAAATCATTCGTCTTTGAATACACAAACAACACAGCTTCCCCCAGATCCACCAATAACAGCAATGGCTCACAAAGAATACGTCCCGTACAAGACCATTTATTGTCTGAACTTAAAATCAACCAGTACCCCAAATTTTTTCTCAACATTCGAGACACAAGCATGTCAATTGGCGATCAGAAATTGTCCTTGGTTGAAATTGGTAACTTTATATCGAGGATTGTCAATTTTGTCGATAAATCAAGTGGTGGTCAAGTAACTTATGCCGAAACGTTAAGAATGAAGTTGAAAAGAAGTAAATCCACTCAATCAAGCACAACGATAAAGAATGACACCATTAGAAGTGATGAGAAAATACCAAAGCGAACCAAATTCAAACAAGAAGTGGTTCGTGTTTTACATAGATTGTATTCGTAATTAGTCATGGACTTGTCTGTCTACTGCGTTCTTGACCTTTTGCTATATCCAAAGTGCTCGTCAAAAAGCTATTTGGAAGATTGAGCTTTGTAGATACAACCACCCGTTAACCTTACAGCCTCGTTTTGAAGCTATGCAAATAGTTATTTGAGATGAAGTTCCACACAAATGATACTCAGAATGGGTCTCTCAAGAGTCTTCTTTTCATAAACATAATCTTGTATTTATAAAGTTCATATGTCCTGACATACAACTTGGCAGAACCATGAAGGATAAAAAGTACGGTTTTTTCCATCAAAGTCTGTGCAATACAAAAAAAAAAACAAAAAAGGCTTCAGCGTACTAATTGCAGCTATCATTACTTCCATAAAGTGATATGCAGTGAGCTGGATTGAGCTTAATTTGGAGAGAAAAAACATACAAGATGGATGAGGCAGACTTGACATGATCTGCTTGTAACGTCACAGATATCGAGATTTAGAAAGACACAACATTCTCGTCGTCGTCGTCGTCGTCGTCGTCGTCCTCCTCCTCCTCCTCCAAGTACTCCACCATTCTCTACACCTCTCAATCCAGATTTACTATTATAATAAAATTTCCGTTTTTAAAAATTACTCCTATATAAAACAATGACTAGGAACAACAACAACAAAAAAAGATTGGGTGGGTTTCGTTATATACCGGGTGATAATCGTAATGATAAAATCAGTGCTCCCCCCTCTCCTCTCTTCCCATATTGCAGCCACATCCATCAAAAGCCAAAAGATTAAAACTCCTTACTCTCTCAACTAACGATTAAAACCAGCTTTGCAATAGTGGTCAAAGAGGACGGGAACACATTATGTTTTAATTATGTTCTTTCTATCTCTCATTTCATTTCGCACTTAGTAACCCAAAGCAGACAATTTCTTAGCAGCTTCAGATTCAGCAGTTGAAGCTTGAGCAGCATTCAACTTCTTAGTCAAAGCCTTCTTCTTGGCGTAGTATTCAGCTGATTGCAATTTTCTCTTTTCTTCCAATTTTTCAACAACTGATTCGTATTTCCAACCAACTGAAGTTGACAATTTACCAACAGTGGTGTATTTTCTACCTGGCTTCAATCTCAATACTCTCAAAGCTTGTGGAACAACAACTCTCTTCTTCTTGTCGTATGGTGGTGGAACACCTTCGAAAACCTTCAATCTTTCCAAAGCAGCCTTACCTCTAGCAGTCTTGTGAGGAATCATACCTCTGATAGCCTTGTACAAGATTCTAGATGGGGCCCTGAAGTGGAATGGACCTTTGGTCTTGTTGTATCTAGTAGACTTTCTCAAGTAGTCGTGGTACTTCAACTTGTTTCTGAAAAATTCACCAGAAATGTTCAATTCCTCACATCTGACAACAACAATCTTTTGTCCGTTAAGGATTTGCTTGGAGATGATGGAGGCTAAACGACCCAATAAGTGGCCTTTACCATCAATAACAACAACTGGTTCGAATGATGACATGGTTCGTATGTGTGTGTGTGTGTATAGAAGTGGTGTGTGGTGATGTTAGATGGAAAAATTCACAGTTGCAGAAAAAAAAAAAAATTTTGTAAAGTGCGAGTGAGTGGTAGTAAGCGTTGTTAGAAGGATATGGTTTTGTGATGAAAAATTTACTTGGTTACACAGTGTATATGTTGTCGAGCGAGAGTTGGCGAGGTTGGTGCGGAAAGCGTGGGAAATTAGGGCGTGGAAAAATTGTTTCGCTCTAGTACGGTCCTGTGATGTTGTATCAATTTTTCTCTCCTGCAAGTGTATATGCATTTTTTTCCACCACTCACGTGCAAAGTATTCTAGGGCTAAGCCCTAGTACAGACTCTTTTTAAATGATTTCTGGTACAATCAACAAGTTGACCTACGCTATATGTCTATGCATAAACTTTTATTACTCTACATAGTCTCTAAATCACCTATAGGGCGTCTAACTTGGCACCTTGATGCTTCCTTCGTTTAACAATGAGTTAACGACACTCAAAATAGCTTCCATCGAAGCTTGACTGACATCATGGTTGATACCACAACCCCATTTTGTAACCTTCTCATTAGCATTGTTCAAATAGCTCAATTGAACATATGTAGCAGCTTTGGAGGCTGATCCTGTACCTAATGAATGCTCTTGATAAGTAACAACTTCAAACAATGTTCCAAACTTCTTACCAATAGCGTCAATAAATGAAGAAATTGGTCCATTTCCTTCACCTTTAATAACAATCTCTTTGCCATTGACATCATCCTTCAACTGTGCAAAAATCTCTCTGAGATCGTTCTTACTCTTGGTGATTTCGAAATCTACAATGGATAATGGTGCTTGCACAAGATATTCCTTGTTGAAAACATCAACAATCTCATCAATTTGCAACTCTCTTCCCAATTGATCAGCTTTAGCTTGAACAATGGATGAAAATGCCACTTGTAAGTGTCTAGGCAAGTCCAAACCCAATGATCTCAAGATAACCCAGGCGCTTCCGCCTTTACCAGATTGGGAATTGACTCTAATCACAGCCTCATAAGTTCTGCCAATATCCTTAGGGTCCAAAGGCAAATAAGGAATTGCCCATTTCTCGTCATCACGCTCATAGCTGAACCCCTTCTTGATTGCATCCTGATGCGATCCACTAAATGCACAAACAACTAACGATCCACTATATGGAGCACGTTCAGGCACTTTAATCTTGTTGCAACGTTCACTAACATCAATCAAACTCTGCAAATCTGAAAAATCCAAATTTGGTGAAATACCCTGTGTATACAAGTTTAATGCAACTGTAACCAAGTCAACATTACCAGTACGTTCACCATTGCCAAATATGCAACCTTCAACACGATCAGCACCGGCTAACAATCCCAATTCAGTAGCTGCGACACCACATCCACGATCATTGTGACAATGCACAGAAACAACAACTTTCTCACGTTCAGTAATATGTTTGCAAAAGTATTCAATCTGATCAGCATATACATTTGGACCAGCAACTTCAACCGTTGCAGGCAAGTTGAAAATCATTGGATGCTCAACACTAGGTTCCCATGCTTGTTTCACAGCTTCACAAATAGCCACGGCAAATTCAACAGGGGTATCTGAAAAACATTCGGGAGAAAACTCCAAATTCCATTCAGTTTCCCTCATATTTGGGTCATCTTTGGTTAAACTTTTCACCAATTTAGTAGTCTCAACAGCTTTGGCAATAGCGTCTTCCTGCGACATACCAAACACAACTTCTCTAAACACATCCGAAGTAGCCAAATAAATGTGAATAATCGCCTTCTTGGCACCCTTTACCGACTCAACCGTTCTTCTCACCAAGGGTTCTCTCGATTGGGTCAAGACTTGGATAGCTACATCCTCAGGAGCATTCTCAACTGCATACCTCGTGAAATCAAAATCGGTTTGTGAAGCCAGAGGGAAACTAACTTCGATTTCCTTAAACCCCGTATCAATCAATTTATGAAAATATTCCTTCTTTTCCAGGATTGACATGGGGTCAGGTAATGATTGGTTCCCGTCTCGTAAATCGGTGGATAACCATCTGGGTGCTTTTGTCACTACTTTACTGGGCCATTCACGGTTGTTCAACTTGATTTGTTTTGGTGGTGGGTATTTGACGGAGGGGTTTTTGAGCATGTTTTTGTACTGTAGTTTCACGGGTGGAATCCGTGATGCTGCTCTTGCAAAGAGTTTGAATTGTGGGAACATCATTCTTCGGGTGGCGTGGAGGTTGATGATGATGGATGGATAAGTGAAAGGGAGAAGAAGATGATGAGGAAAGTGGGATCTGTAGTTTGGAAGTGGACTTGATTTTTAAAAGGGTTCAGGAAAATTGCCTGGGTTTTGGTACAAAGTTGGAAATTTTTCACTTTTTCCCCTCTCTGTAGAGCGATACCGGTTGATTCACAAAGTGAGAAATAAAAAAACACACAATTTAGACTTCCATATTGGGAAGTAAGTTGCACTAACAGAAAGCACTACCAATTATTGTCGTGTGTTTTTTTCTCTTCCCTTCTTCTCTTTTTCTCTTTTCGTATTATTTTTTATATTTTTTCCAGCTCATCTCTCTCCATAATCATCGCATTACTTGGATATTTTTTTTTTTTTCACGTCAATTGAAGATACTTTCTTTCACTAGCAAAAGATATCATTTACAATGGCTAAATCAGTTAAAGATAAGAAGGTGGATAAGAAAGCTGCCGGTAAGAAGGATGCTAAACCAGCCAAGGTTGAAAAAAAGGTAGACAAGAAGAAGAGCAAGAAGGAAGAAAGCTCGTCTGAAGAAGAAGAAGAAGAAGAAGAGGACAGTTCCTCAAGCTCATCCGACTCAGACTCGGATTCATCATCTAGCTCATCATCTAGCTCATCATCCAGCTCATCATCTAGCGACTCGTCAAGCGACTCGTCAAGTGATGAATCTTCTTCAGACGAAGAAGAAGAGGAAGAAGTCAAGGAGGAGGTCAAGGTTGCCAAAAAGGAAGAGAGTTCCGACTCAAGCTCTCCATCTAGCAAATCATCAAGTGATGAATCTTCATCAGACGAAGAAGAAGAGGAAGAAGAACTGAAAGAGACCAAGAAGGAAGAAAGCTCCGACTCCAGTTCATCAAGCCTGAGCTCAGAATCTGATTCCGATTCCGATAGCTCAAGCTCAAGCTCGAGCTCATCATCATCATCATCATCATCGTCATCGTCATCTGACTCTGACTCTGACTCTGACTCTGACTCTGATTCCGACTCCGACTCTGAAGAAGAAGAAGAAGAAGGAGAGGAGGAAGAAGTCAAGGAAACACCAAAGAAGCGTAAGATTGAAGAAACTGAATCGACAGCCACTCCACAATCCAAAAAAGTTAAATCAGAATCTTCATCATCAGCTGCTACCTATGAAGAGCCTGCCACCATTTTTGCTGGTAGATTATCATGGAACATTGATGATGATTGGTTAAAGAGGGAATTTGAGCATCTTGAAGGTGTCATTGGCGCCAGGGTCATTATGGAGAGAGACACTGGAAGATCCAGAGGTTATGGATACGTTGATTTCACTTCTAAGGCAGCTGCTGAAAAGGCAATTGCTGAAATGCAAGGTAAAGAGATTGATGGTAGACCAATCAATTTGGACATATCAACTGGTAAACCACATGCCGCCAAGTCTAACAATGATCGTGCTAAGCAATATGGTGATCTGCAATCCCCACCATCTGACACTTTGTTCATTGGTAACTTGTCATTCAATGCCAACAGAGATAAGTTGTTTGAGGTATTTGGTGAATATGGTAGTGTTATCTCATGTAGATTGCCAACTCACCCAGATACTCAACAACCAAAAGGATTCGGATACGTACAATTTAGTTCTGTTGATGAGGCCAAAGCCGCTTTGGAAGCATTGAATGGTGAATATTTAGAAGGAAGACCATGCAGGTTGGATTTCTCTACTCCTAGAGACAACAACAACGGTGGTGGTGGTAACTGTGGAGGAAGCCGTGGTGGATTTGGTGGTGGTAGAGGCGGTGGATTCGGTGGACGTGGTGGATTCGGTGGAAGAGAAAGATCAGCTACTCCAAGTGGAACACCAAGAAAATCTGCCGGTGCCGAATTCAAAGGAACCAAAAAGACTTTTGATTAAGAGTGATTAGACAGAGAGACTCCAGGGGAGTAGATGGTAGAAATCAGGACGTGTGAATGTGAATGTGCGTGTGTGTTGAGAGGAATGTGAATAGAAGAGCACTTGTATTAACCGACTAGGTCCCATTACAATAGTAAGCATTATATTTTTTCTTTATTGTTTTGTATATTAGAATTAAAGTAATATTAATTATCGAGAATTAGACTTTATATTGTTGGGATACAATGGACAATGTTTTGAAAGGAGCCTCCCTTTAGGTGTTGGATTGCGTTGCTTATTTCCTTTGGGAGAAGAATCAAGCGAAGGGGAGCGAGGTTGCAAAAGGATCGCCAAAAGAAATAATAAACGAGACAACGAAAAAAAGGAGAGAAAAATTCTTGGGTGTTCCTTAAAAAGAGGAGACAAAAGAGAAGTGTGCTTAAAGGGTTTGAGGGGGTTTGTTGATGCTGCAGTTGGTCTTTGATTTTTACGCCATGGGTGACCTCAATCAGTGATATATACAACTGTGTTTTTGCTGTAAAAAGTAATGCAAACTGCTACGAATTCTGTTGCAAAGCTTGCACGTGGATGTGGACGTGGACGTGGACGTGGACGTGGACGTGGACCTGCACGGCGCTAAAACCATAAAAAAAACTATAAAACATTCTCTCGCCTTCGCCTTACGTCACATTGGACTGCATATCTGGACCAAATTGAAGAGGAGATAAGGGTACTTTGTGCTTTGGCAAAAGGATACCTTCCTGTCTATGCTACACTCTTGGCTGGTCTGCTTCAGAATAGACACAGTCTTGTATTACAGAACCCCTCAGCTCTGTGAACTTGTGACTAGTTACTTGATTTGGAAGTCAACAACAAAATACAAAAAGAAAAAAAAATAAAAAGGAGAGAGACAGAGAGACAGAGACAGGAAATTAAACAATCCCCCAAAACAATCCGTCCTTAGATAGTCCCTCTCATTTTTACAGACCATCAATACTTTAGAGACTACACTTAGACCTTAGAGGTGACTTAGACACCCACACATACATACTGGCCAATACATCCTTCCCATTTGTACTATACCATCATTCTAGACACATTCAACACTGTTCTTTTATTGCTTTTCCTCGCACATGCCAAGTTTCAATTTCAAGTAAATTTAGAATCTATCACTCAACTACTTAATTTTCAAAGCCACACTAAGCTACTAGGCCCACCACAACAGCAGCAACAGCAGCAACGACAACCAAAGAAGTAAAGAGAATACAACACACCCAAACTCCGGGCTAATTTAGTTATATCACACAGTTGAAGTCAACCACACATATAGTCCTTGCAAATGAGAAGAGCAGTGTCAAAGATACTACCTTCCCCGAGTGGTGGTGGTGGTGGTGGTAGTAGTGGTAGTAGTAGTAGTAACGCAAACTCCACTTCAAAGCTTGGCGCTTCTTCATTCGCATCAGCCTTCAAATTGGACTTTAGCGCTGTTGACGAATTTTACGTACAGTTGGATAATCCGCACAAGACTTGGCTACCGGGAGATGAAGTGTCGGGACAAATCGTGTTGATATCAAAGAGAAATTTAGCAAACATAGTGATCACCCTCTCTTTGATTGGGTTTATCAAAATTAACGCATCTTCACATTCAAAACTACGGCCTTTGAAACATACCTTGTTCGATCATACTATCAAGATATATGGTGGAAGTGACAATATCGCTGGTGGTGGCAACAGCAATGACGAAGAGTTTACCAATGGATTAAACAAGGGAGAACATGTATTTCCTTTTATTGTTAAACTACCGAACAAAAGAGTATTTACCTCAATTGATTTTGGCAAAGGTTCAATCAACTACTTATTGCGGGCTTGCGTGGGTAACGCCTCTTCGTTCACAACTGATATGTCCAACAATTTGCCCACTTCACCTGGTGAACTACCCGCTGGCAAAAAGAAATCACTGCATAGCCCTTCCTACACTTCAGAAAAGTTGATAAATCTTATCAATCCAATTGATGTGTCAACTTTGCCACGGCCCAAACCCAAAAGACTAATATTGAAAGATCCAAGAGGGAGTTTGACCAAGGACAAGAAACTACTGCGCACGCAGTCTTCAACATCAACTTTGAATACGGTGCAAACTTTTGCCACCATGTCATCAAACAATCTGGATCAAAACTCAATCAATGACCAATCTTCTCACTCAAACTCTAATGAGCTCGGCCACCATCATGATAGGCTGACATCAAGTATCAATAAACTTCAATCAACAATCAAAGTCATTCTAGATGTACCACAACGAGGGTATCTACGTGGCGAATCAATACCAGTCAAGTTGACAATCAACCACTTGAAAAAGGTGCAAGATCTCAATGGGATAATTATAACATTTGTTCGTGTTTGTCGATTAGATAATGGACCAGATGGAGTTGTTGAGAGCTTTAGAAAGGATTTACAACAAACTGTCCTACCCTTATATGTTGACCCAGTGACATTGAATTCCGAGGTCAAGACATCGCTAAGAGTACCCCCAGATGCATTTCCTACAATAACTGGCTGTCCATTGGTATCATTTCAGTACTTCATTGAGGTGCTAATTAACCTCTCAGGCAGATCAGTGAATATCGATCCTGATTTAGTTGCTGAGCGACACCTGCCAGACTCAAACAACAATATTCAACAACCACAACAAAAGAGCGCGACATCCATAGAATCATTTCAGTTCAATTTCAATTCAACAGCCCAGAATCAAAAGGATCGATCAACATTTATAAACACTGATCGTTTCAAAAGATCAAAGAAATTTTTGCAATTGACCAGCGAGATCTGCATTGGAACACATCGACTGCAACCAGAAGACGAGGATGTTCAAACACTTTCATCAACGGAGCCCACAACCACCACCGTTTCCAGACGGTCATCATCTTCAATTTCCAATTCGAATTTGTCACCGGCATTGTTTAATTCATCCGGCAACCCGTCACCACAAGTTCAAACTACATCAACTAATTCTCCATCCTTTTTCGGTCACACACCAACGCCACTTCCATCATCATTAATAGCAACATCAGGAGGTGTAACAAACTCAGCTGCAAATTCAGCCTCAATTAATGGCCCACCATCTTCATTATCCACGTCTGCAATGGCAGCCACAAACCCACCCCAACGATACCCGTACATTAATTCAATACCGGAGTTTAGAGAGTTGAATCATTTCCAAACCCCACCATATTCAACCAATGCTGAAGACTCACAAGCACCGTTGTACAGTAATGATCATGCCACGGATATTCTGAATGAATTTGTGCAGACTTTGCATCAGAATTCAGGATTGTCAGAGAAGGAAAGAATGCAACAGCATGAAGATAGCTTGTTGCCTTCAGCACCACCAGATTTGGATGAGGAGGAAGATGAAGAAGAGGACGGAGAGGTGAGAGTTGATGGAGTAGGACCAGAAGGAGGAAACGAGGCGGAGGACCGACAGGGAGATGCCCCCGTAAATGAACCACCATCTCATAACTTTGGCAATAATTGCACTCCGCCTCTACCACTTGAGCATGGTTCAGAAAATCACATCAGTTTCTTTACATTTACTCAACCTACTCCGCCCCCCTCACAACCCGCTCAAAGCAGTCCAAGGGACAGCGATAACACCATAAACAATGGTCAACAGCAACAGCAACAGCAACAACGTTCCGAGTTTGATGATTATTTTGGCTTGCCTTCTTCTCTGTCGACCTCGGAACACCACGATGCACCATCAAGTTCATTAGCTCATCAGTTATTCAATGATGATGAGATTGATCATGTACCGGCCTATGTGTCAGCCAAAGATGACCAATTACTTTCTCAGTCGCATTCGCATTTGTTGCATGCTGGTAATGCATCGCAACGAGACCAGCAACAACAACAACAACAACAACAACAACGGCAAGACGGAGAGCTTGACAGAACCACATAGGCGGGGCCAGTGTTGCTTGCAATGGAAGAATGAACTTTGTATCTAGTTCCAATGTAAATGTGTATTATTTGTAACCGAATTTAATGATTTACGAAGTGCACTTCATGTTGTACAGTACAACACTCCCTCTTGAAGTAACAACTAAAGTCTCAATTTTATTGCCTTTTATTAAAATTATACAAAGAAAAGCTTTTCATCATCAAGGACGATAAGTGGGGGTATTCAAAATAATTCAATCAACGTTACGTTATAGAAAAGGAAGCGCAAAATTTTGACAAAACTGTCAATTATACATCACAGATGATAATTGTTTCAGTAAGGATTCTCAAACTTTGCACAGAATAAGCAACACACACTTCGTGTATTGGAGTTGAATCAAAGAGTGAACTCAAACGGTCGAGAAAACAGGTTGTCAAAACCCTCGCAAAGCTTCAAGCTCAAACTTTCACAGCCTCAATTATTTTGAGCCAAGTACAATTGTTTTTGCAACGCAGTAACGTTATTCTTCAACTGGTCTCTCTCTTGCTTAATAATGTACAAATCAGCCTCAAGATCCTTAATCTTCATATTGAAATGGGCATTACTAATGACTCCTTCGTCATCGTCATCCACATGGCCGCCGACATTAACAGTATCACGAGCATCACTAAACGCGTCGTCTCCAACAACAGGAGTCGATGTCGATGATCCATTACTCTTTTTCAAATGGGCCGATTTGAACATCTTCAATTCATTATTTTCCTTAATCAATTTATCCATAAAGTTGCGTTGATTATTCAATTCTTCTTGGTTCAACTTCAATGCCTTTGAAGTGTTATTCACCGATTGTAAAGACTCGCGGTAATTTTCCTCCAAGCTTTTCAAATTGGCAATACGTTGAGTCAATTCCTGACGCAAGGTGGCAATTTCTTGATGGCTAACTTCATCATTCTGTTTCGAGATGCGCAACAAGTCATCCACTTGTTGTTGCAATTTGGCAACAACGGGGTTGTTTTCCGGCGTGATTGCTGGTGATACTTCACGCGTTGCCGGTTGTTTGACATTCCACAAGTTGACCAAATTTTCCAATTGGGTCGAAATGTCTCTTCTCGTTCTGGCTGAGCTTAAGATAGATCTGTTGTCGGCATTGCCAGCGGCGTCAGCTGAGAATGATTCGTCACCTCCTTGATATTGTTGATCCTCGAGATCAATATCATCGTCGTTATGTATGGCTTTATAATTGTCAAATTCCAATTGTAAATTATCAAATTTCGTCTTCCATTCATTAATCTCCTTATGCAATACTTCTTGATCCTTGACTTGGAAACTCAATTTTTCAATTTGCTCTTCTTGCACTTTAATCACTTTTTGGAATTTGGCCAATTCGCCAATTTGATGATTCATGAACGGTTCAAACTCGGCAAATTGATCATGCAATTTAGCATTCTCCTGTTGCAAGTAAACCAACTTGTTATTCAACTCTAGCCTTTCCAACTTGTATCGACTCAATTCAGACAAGTTTGTCGTGGTGGATGGTGCTTCAGGGTCCCATGCACTTGGATCAAGGCTCAGTTTCAACTCATTGATCATGGCATCTTTATCATTGATTTGACGTGTGTATACATCAATATCGTTCTTGTGAGATGACTGCAACTGGGCATTTTGTTCTTGTAAGGAATTGATTCTGGTGTTTGCGGTTTGCAATTGTTGGCTTGTTGATGACTTGACTTGATCCAATTCGTTTCTCAACTCTTCAATTATTTGATTCAATCTTCTATCATTGACAGCACTAGCACCACCACCAATGGCAGTACCACGAGAGCCACGAGTAGTGGAAGAGCTAATGTTTCTGTTGATGGAGATTGGCTTAATGACATCGTCGTCTTCCTTGTCTACCACTTCTTCTTGCTCCTCCTCTTCTTCATCCTCAGTGTCCTTGAGATAGCTTCTGTCACGGGGATAGGTTGAAGTTTCGTGGTCGCTGGTAATATCAGGGTAGTATGAAGTCAGACCATATGATTTGTCAGCAAGACTTGACCTTCTATTTCTTGCAACTCCTTCAATAGTGTCAGCGTCTTGCTCTTCTTCGTCTTTATCATCATAAGTTCCCAAAGATCTCTTCAAGACTGAAGCGTGGCCGGCTGCTTTCCCAGCAGCACCAGCAGCGGCAAATGCAGCAGCCACGCCAGCACCAGAAACACCATTGGTGGCGACATCTTCATGCTCATGGTTGAATTTAGGATCAAGCGATCTTCTTCTTAGATACTGTGCATCCTCATCATCGGGAAGTTCGTCTTGCACCACATGCTCGTCACTGATTGGCTCATTAGTTTGGGCAATATTGGCGTCTGTGTCTCTGTCAATACGAGCGTATGGGTTGACATGTGGCACCACATTGTCTTCTTCTTCTTCTTGATCAATATGTGAGTTTGTACCGGATGGAGTTTCAACATCAACGAAATCAGTATGACGATTCATTGTGTTTGTAGATAACCCGCGGTCCAACTGTGCACGATCTTGAGATTGTGGCTGTAAGGCTTGTGGGGGTGGTGGAGGAGGTGAAGCACGAGGAGTAGCGTAATCTTCGGGACCAGTAGATTCACGTCTTGAGTGACGTTCAAACCCATCACCCGGTTGAGCTGAGGCTGAAGCAGCCACTTTCCGTGGTTTCCTAGATGAACGAGGCTCAATAGGTTCAGACATAAATTGATCAACGATATTGATATCCAATTCATAGATCATGGTTCCGACTTCTGCACCATTGAAAGTTTCATAAGTATCGAAATTGGTTGCATCAGCAACAATATAATCATTCTTGTCACCACCCATTATAATCAACTTGTTATATTTGGGTAAATAAGTCATTGAATGACCACACCTAGGCCCAGGCCCATTTTCTTCAGCAGTCTCCAACAACTTGTACCATGTAAAAGTCTTCAAGTCCAACACATAAAGACTGCTATAAATAACTCCACTGAAATCGTTACCACCGTAAATGTACAATCTGTCATCGACAACACAAGCTGAATGCTCATTCACTGGTAATGGTAGAGTACCACTAGTTTGAATCTGTTTCCATTGCTCGTGTTCAACGTCAAATTCCCATAAATCATTCGACACTCTTTCGTTATTGTATACACCACCGAAAACGTAAATTTTCTCCTTGTAAATCGACATTGAGTGATTAGTCAATGGTGGTGGCTTGAAATTGTTTAAAGGTTCAACAATTTTCCAAGTTGCCTTTGGTGATTTGAATGAATTCAACTCAAAATAATACATATCATTGAAAACATCGTTTTCCAATTGACCACCAAAAAGGTAAAGTCTCGATGACGATGAGTGATCAACGGCAACAACTCCAATGGTATGTCCGTATCTACCATTTGGCTTGTTCAAAATGTGGCTTGGAATGGTATACTTGTGATTATTGATATTGAACAAGTAGAAATTGTTATCTGGGAAACCATATTCATCAGTTTCAACAGTGTCTCCACCATAAATGATGAATGCATTACCACACAAGACTGACGAATGGCCAACTCTAGCTGGTGGATTATTATTATTGGTGATTTCAATATTCTCAGCTGAGTAATTCAATACGTCGCCATCGTGGCCTTCATGAGGAATGATTCTCCAAGTATCGCCGAAAACTGAACCATCTTTCAATCCACCCATGATGAAGATCTCATTCTTGTCACTAGAAATGGCAGATGCCGCATGCCTGTACCTGGGAAAAGGAGAATCAAAAATCTTGAATCTATTCCAGGGATTACTGACATTCAAATGGGGTGGAGCGCGCGACTTGTAAGGAACTGTTGATGGATCAGTAGTGATTCCAAATGGTTCCAGGGTATAACTGTGATGATCTTGAGCTACCGGCATGTTGTTGTTATTGTTACTACTGCTGTGTAAATCTTCTTGACCAAAAGTATGTGAATGCAAGTAATCTTTATCTTGCAGTGGTGGTGAGTGTGGAGGAGAATTTGGCGCTTGGAAGGATGCTGATGATTTCGAAGTGCGACTGCTTTTGATCTTCTCCTTCTTGGGTGAGTTCTTGTTGGATGAAGTTGCTGAGGTAGCTGTACTGTTCTTTCTCCCAAACTTGAACTTCTTCATGGAGTAAATATAAAAAAAAAAAATTCAAATATTTGGGGAAGGTGGGGGCGATTAAATATAACTGGCGGCAGCGGGCAACGACAATGAGTATTTATATAATTATGTGTAAGTTTATAGTTTTGTATATTGGGCAGTGGATGTTACACAGATCTGTTAAGATTTGGTGAGTAGTAGTTGTGCTTACTCTTGTGTAGATTTTGGGGAATGGATCGATGTAGAATTTTATATTTTGAAGAAAAGTCAGGTTTTGTATTATGTATACATTAGTGGTTGAAAAGGGTAATAATAACAATACATTGTAGAACAACAAGGACTTAACGGGTTACAAAACCAAACGTATACAAAAAAAGAAAAAAATGTCCAAACTAAATTGAGTAATATTTATTAGCACCCAATACATACACCCCATAGGATATTATATGGTCTTGGAGTGTGCAGCACTATTGTGGAAACAAGGCGAGGTTGTGGCCATCTTGTTACTAGAGTTGTGTATTGTACAAAGTGTTCGTACGACATTTAGATTGCGCAACAGACACCTGACAGAAAAAGTCGCAGCTTCTACTTCGACTTCTTACTCTATACACACACACACACACTCTCTCTCTCTTTTCAGTACCCCTAGATAACTAGTAACTAGTTGTATTGTCTCAGTGGTTCAATAGATCTGACCACTACTGTCGTTACATTGTTGATGCTCTTTCTCTATCTGGTCCTCGTTTACCATTGGAAAACCACATTATACCTTTGACGTATGGGCTCTACCGAAAAGGGTAACTTTCAGGGGGTAGAAATATATTTTCATTTTTTTTTTGTTTCTTTTTTTATCTGTTTTTGCTCTAACTATTGCAATAACTTCATCCATTGGCTGTGTCTAGAAAGGCTCAATTCCACACCCCATTTCAACTACACATACACTTGGCTATACCCTTTGTCTCTTGAAATCTTAGCAACTGTTGCAATCCTCGCTGTAATTGGTGGCAAGGCTCGGCCCTGACTTGTCCTGTCGTCGTTTCCTGAATAGGTTTCGAAGCACTCTTCGATGTGGAGCTACCCCGCGGCAGATGGCAGTTGACTACTCAATAGAGATGTTTACTTCGTCAAGGCATCTACGCAAGTCGAAGATCTCACAAAAAGAATAAGCTTTGGTTTTGTGTTACAACAGAGTATTTCCCTATTGGGAAATTTTTCCTCTTTCTTAACATAGAGTGTCATGAAAAGCAAAAATACGACAAGGATTTTCACAAAATAGTCAAGAAGATTTCCAAATGTGATCCAAGCGACAACCTAGGTCCACATCAGGATAATCGAGAGTCAGGGAATTGTTTTGGGCTTGCTCCATACAATGCAAGTAGTGGATCTGTGATCATGGTGATACGATTTTGGACGTTTCTATGGATGTACGAAGGACAATCTCAAACAGAACACACTAAGCCTCACAACAAACGCTCTTTTTGACAAAAATCGCAGGAATCCGAAATCACCACCTCTCCCTCTCTCTCCCTCTCTCACTCTCTCTTACGTTAGAACACCCTCCTGCCTCATCACCTCGTTGGAAGTGTCAAGGGCTGTGCAAAGCTCTCCTACACCAATGTCGCAAGACTTTTTTTTTTCCGTTAAATTATACATATTACACAATAGTTGAGTTTGCAATAAAAAATTACCAAATTGGGAAGCGACATTATGTTCCGCAATGTAAGTTGCAACAGTTTTCGTCATTCACTAAATTAGGCCCATACTAGGAAGCCGGAACGTGGAAACAGCCGCTTCGAAGTCAATAGCACTCAGAACATTCATGTTTCACGGAACCTTTGATGTGATCCCGTGCTGTATGCCATTCCTCAGAATCCTTGCAATCAGAGAAAACGGAAATACAACTCAAATCACAACAGCTTGGTCGCTCCAGGGAAAAATACTCTTTCGATTCGGGGTAACGTATTGCGCATTAACACCAAAAGTTATTTGAAGACATGGGTTGTGTTATTGAACTCGATCTCTTTAGAACGGAAAAACACGTACATGTATAGACTTTACCCCACACTGTCATTTTTAAAGCCGAAACAGCTTCCCCTTCTAATGTCGTCAAAGTTTGATGTCAATTTAAGTGTCGCATTTTTACATTTTCATTGTCGCAAAATATTCCAACGACACTGACTTTGTTTTTCTTCGGAGGAACCAACAAACACCTTTAAACAGGAGTGCTTCAAGAATTCACTCTTTTTGCAACAACGGAGCCCCAGTGAAGGACAACCACAATGGACCTGTATGATTATAATCCAGTGACTCACATAAACGATATATTTGACACTCCAGAAACGTTAAACCACTTACCCCAGGCATTGTCCCATATACACCAGTATAAACTACAACTAAGTCGTGAAATTGAAAACTTGAAATCGGAGTATGATTCGAGAACCGAGATAGATGATGATATACATCAATTGGTGAGTAACATCAAGGATATCAAAAATAGTGCCCACGCGACTAAATCAACGATTGTGTCAATGACGAGCTCGATCCAAAAACTAGACGCATGCAAGAAAAACCTAGTCTTATCAATGACGGTGTTTAAGAGATTACAAATATTGGTCAATGTAAACAATGGACTAAAGGAAATTCTTCCGTTACGAAACTACGAAGAGATTTATCAGAGGTTGGGGGTGATGAAAGAGTTGTTACATTTTTTCCAACCCTACAAGTCAATTGATTTAATCAACGAGATCAACTTAATGACAATATTCACACAAAACAAGCTTGTTGATGATATCTTTTTAGACTTTGAAGAGTTTTTGAGACGTGATGGACGTGGTTCTGAGAACGGTTCTCCACAAGAGCTGAATTTACTTTATGGAGCCAAAACCTTGGAAATGATTGATACGAAAAACAAGGCCAAATTATTAAACTGGTTTCATAATATACAACTAAGAGATTTGAAGAGTATATTTAGTCAATCGGATGAAGCTGGATCGATTGAAAATTTGGGCCGAAGGTTCATATATTTCAACAAGATTTTAGATCAAGTGAACCAATATGCCATTTTCCCAAAAGAATGGAACGTGACCACCGGTATCATTGTTGAATTTTGCAAGATTACGAAACAGGATTTGTCTACTACTTTGCAAAATAAAAAGATTGATTCCACTACATTACTCGACAGTTTAACCAAAACTATTGAATTTGAAAAGAAATTGAATAGTGACTTCCCTTCTGAAGTGGAGTACAATCTCTCCTCCGTGTTTGAGCCATACTTGTCTACATGGGTGCAAGAACAAGACAAGATGCTAAATAGCAAATTCCTTGAATTTGCTGCCACGTCGCAGTTGCCACCAGAATTGGCTAAAGATATCACGGCAAATATCCCCAACATTGCCATTACATCTACCGAGCTATTCAAACTATATCACAAACTCCTATCACAAATTCTCAAGTTAACAAATGGAGACATTATTACCAGCTTAGCGAGATTGTTCAATAAATACTTGTTTGAATATCTCAATCGAATCTTGACACCCATGCTTCCGCGCAATGACGATGATATTGCTGGCGAGGATGCAATCAAGTATCTCACCTTGTTACTAAACACCGGTGACTACATGGTGGGGAATATTGAGGAATTGAATGAGAAATTGGAATTGGTAGTTTCCGAAAATGTAAAGAGTCGATTACCGACACTAACCAGTGACTCGTTTTTACAACTTGTAAACAAGAGCATTTCGGCACTTTTGGTGAAATTGACCAACGATTACAAACCATGTTGGCGCGAGTTCTTCAATATCAATTGGCAGGAATTAGACTCAGTGAATGATGTATCTTCGTACATGATGGATATAAAGTCCATCACCAACAACAATTTGAAATTGATTTTGCCTTTGATTATTCGTGATAGTTATGTACGCAACTTCAATGACAAATTGGTTGAGTTATTGGTGACGACCCTAGCCAACAATCTAAAATTTATCAAACCACTAACCACAACAGGATTGGAACAGTTGTTGCTAGATGTCATATCACTAAAGGATACGTGTCTCAATTTCCCCCGTTTGGCACAAAAGGAAACGACAAAATCGTACACCAAATTCGTCATTAATCATTTCCATGAGCTAGAATCAATTTTGAAAATCTTGATGGTTCCTCAGACGACGCCCATTGAAAATTTCATTGAATCTTATTTCGAATTGATTGGCGGTAGATCTATTGCTAACTTCACCAAGATTTTGAATTTGGCCCAAATTGACAAATCTAGACAATACACATATATCGAGAATTACAAATTACAGTTGTCAATCGATAATGAAGATGACGATGCAACAGCAACTAGGGATTCTGCACACCAAAAGAATAACCAATTGTTGACGAATTTAGAGGATGAGTTGGATAATCTATCAGCACTGTCGACTCCCGTGAGTGCTACTATTCCGCAAGGTCCATTTTCAACAAGCCGTGGCTCTAATAATGCAAGTTCTGCTAAGTTGTCATCGCCGGATCTCAAATCACCCAAGTTGCTTCCTCGAATGAATCAGTTTGAAAAGAATATTAGAGATTTGGCATTGACGGGTGAGACACACGTGAGTAAATTTAATGAAAATTTCAGAAGTAACTTTGGCAAGTTTTTCAGAAAAGAAGACAGGTAAATTTAGGAGGGCGAAAAGAATAGAAGTCATTTATAGGTTTGTGTATTCAATGTCATGCTGGTGATGAATATAGTTGACTCCCTCTTGTTTCGCAGACATTAATTTGTTTGTTCTCACTTGAAATTTTTCACAACCCAAAAGCAAAAGCAAGAGCAAAAGCAAAAGTAAAAGTAAAAGCAAAAGCAAAAGCTTCATACATACTCTACACTCTTTCCACAATGAAACTAGTCAAGATATGTGGCGTGAAAACCATAGAAGCGGCAGAAACAGCCATGCTCAGCGGAGCAGACCTCATAGGATGCATCCTCGTCCCCAACAAATCGCGCACCTGCGATATTGAAACCGCTAAACAAATAGCCCAGTACATAAAACAAGGTCGCCCTCAATCCATATCGCAGATCATGACCCGTTTACAACTGAAACGAGACACATTCACATCACCAGTTGACTACTTTGAGTACGTTCAAAAACTCATACTTGACAACGGACCATTCTTGGTTGGAGTGTTCCAGAACCAATCACGAGATGAAGTTTTGAGTATAGCCAGACGCATCGGTTTAGATTTCATACAATTACACGGATCAGAACCCAAACTCGACTTCGTGAATGATGAATTCGGACTTGTGTTTCGATACGTTGTGCCTCGCGATACTGAACTTATGCGTGAGCATGGTTTGCACATGATGCGAAATGGCGTGTTGGGGTTGCCTTTGCTCGATTCGGAACAAGGTGGCGAGGGGAAAGTTATTGATTGGGATTATGTAAGTGGGAGTTTGCCGTTTACGAGGGCGATATTGGCCGGCGGGTTGACACCAGATAATATTCGTGAGACTATGGATGTCAAGAATGTTATTGGATTTGATGTGAGTGGCGGGGTTGAAACTGATGGTAAAAAGGATTTGACCAAAATTGCAAAATTCGTCAATGGTGGAAAGAGTATATACTAAGAAGATACAGTAAATCGAGAAGGGCCATGTCAAAATAGATGCGTTTAATGTATACACAAAAGTAACTTCTTACACCTTTATATCTCTCCTCTAATCATCTTGATCCCAGTTTCCTGGCCTTGGTTGCTGTGGCATTACTGGTCCTCCAGCCCTTTTGGCCATGATAATTTGGTCAATAGACAAGATGGTATTCGTGGCTTCCACAGCCAAATCAATAGCTGACTTCTTAGTTGCCAAAACATCCAACACCTCAGTCTCTTCGACATCTCCCGTATCTATATTCAACCCTTGTTTCAAAGCAGCTTCACTATCATCTTCCGCGTGGGCAGCGTACAATTTACTTATAACTTCGGTTGAGTCAAAACCTGACGTTTCTGCAAGTACACGAGGAACAACTTCAAATGCTTTGGCAAACGATTTAATAGCCAACTGATTTAAACCAGGCGTGGTCTCACCATATTGGGTAACTCGTTTCGATAATTCAATCTCAACCGCTCCTGCACCAGGTAATAGTCTGTTATCTTTAAGTAATCCCTTGATTGAACTTACGCCATCGTCAATGGCTCTTTCAATATCATCCAAGTTGTTTTGCGTAGCACCTCTAATGATAATGGTTGCAGTTCTCGTGCTAGACTCACTTTGTCTGAAAATGGTTACTCGATCACCACCAATCTCTTTAGTTTCAACAATATCAACCTCACCCAATTCATCGGGCGTTGGTGCACCTAATCTAGGTAATGGCGTAGCTCCACAAACTTGACAAATTCTCCTCAAATCGAATTTGGAGGGAACGCGTAAAACCAACAATCCATACTTGTTCAAATAATGCAATGCCAACTCGCCCACATTTGAACCGGCAACCACAACTTTTGCCCCCGATGAATGAATTTCCTTACAAACTTGATCCAATTGCTGTTCTTCGCCCTTTGTGAAATCGAGCATTTCTTGTGCATTATGCAACAACACCGTCCCTTTAGTCTCGGTAGTTGATATATCGATAGGACACGTAAATACAGCAACTTTGGAATTGGCAACATTCTTGACTGATCCCTCGGGCTCTCTAGGGAAAACCATACCTTTGACAACTTCAGATTGTGACAACGACGATCCCATAATCTTGACGACCCTGATTCCATCCACATTGAAACTAGCTGGGTTCTTGGGATTGACCACCGACTTTACAGCCTCAACCACCAATTTGGAAATTGTATCCTCAACACCATACTGCTTGGCAGAAATCACCGGCTTGACAGCTTTGATCAAGTCAGTTTCAAACGATGAGATTTTATCAACCACCAACTTATCCAACGTTTCCATCACGAATTTATTGGCCAAGTTGAAACCTTGAATGATTTCCGAAACATTCAACCCCAAACTCAACAACTTCTCAGCAACGTTCAAAAACTCACCCGCTAATATGATGACAAGATTGGTGAAATCACCCATCTCAAACTCCTGTTGTTTCGAAGCCATAATGAGGATTTTCACAACGGGGTGAACAATCTCCAACTCATTGATCATGGTGGCTGCATCATTAGTGATGAACTTCTTGCCGAGTTTGTTGACAATAATCTTGTTTCTCCCACTGGGACCCATTGATGTTTGTAAAATGGATGCTATTTCGCGTACTGCTTCAACGTTTCTGGTTATGGCTCCATCTTCGTTCGAGTAGGAGGAGTATCCTTTTTTGAACAAGCCGGAATTTGGTGCTTGCGGAAGCTTCAATGACATTGGGATTGATCTAGTGGAGGAGGATTGAAGGTATTTTGGGGTGGAATGAATCAGATTTTTTTTGATGGAAGATTGAAGAAGATGAAGAGAAAAAAAAAAAGAATTGAAATCTGTTTTCAATATGCAGAACACACCCAGGTCCATTTTACATAAAGTGACCTATTTATTCAAATAAAGTTGGACATTGTATGACTACTTCTCTTCTCGATGATTCCTCTTTCTTGCGAATGGTATCCCATTTAAGAAGCGGTTTCAGTTCTCACCTCATGTGGTGCTTAATTGCCATCTAACAACATATCTTTTCAACGCGTTTTTCGCTCACTATACGGGGGGGGGGGAGGCATGAATTGTTGAAACAAAAAAAAAAAAAAAAAAAAAAAAAAAAAAATTTCACTGCATAAATCCACCCATCAATGCTTGTCCACCCATTAGCTAGACAATCACTCATCCGTAGCCCTTTTAGACTACGTCTAGTCAGTCTTCCCAAATTTCCACCCTTGCTGCCACTAGGGAGTCTTCGACTCAATTCGACTCAGCCTAGCAAACTATCATCCAAGTCATTATTTGACCCTTCAGTATGGACAGTACCCAATGTATTGACTTATACTAGAATCATTGCTACTCCATTCATTGGATACAACATTGTGTATGGAAGTCCTATTGCTGCTCTACTGTTGTTCACATATTCATGTGTCACTGATTTCATCGATGGCTATATAGCGAGAAGATTCAATATGAAATCAGTAGTCGGGTCCATTGTTGACCCTTTGGCTGACAAATTCCTCATGACTATATGTACAGTGTCATTGGCATATGTGCACTCAATCCCACCAATAATAGCAACAATTATAATTGGACGCGATGTTATGCTTAGTCTTATGTCATTTTATTATCGTTTCAAGAGTTTGGCTCCACCAAGAACGTTTAACAAGTTTGTTAGTATTGGACAGTACCCAACAATCAGCGTCCATCCTAATTTCTTGGGAAAACTAAACACCGCTTTGCAAATGCTTTACATTGGAAGCTTGGTTTACAGACCACTTTTGGAAAGTGTTGTTAGTGGTGCAGCATTTGATGGGTTGGGTTTAGTTGTTGGAGCAACAACGTTACTCAGTGGAGCTAATTATGTCTTCAATAAGAATTCATGGAGATATGTGAAATAAATGGATCATTGCACATAATCATTAGGGCTTTAAAGATTTTGGATGAGTGTTTGTGATGTAACAATATTGAGGTGAAAAAGATGAGAAATCTGCGCTTGTGACGGATGTTTAGCTTCAATGGAGTGAACTTGTGCGATGCTATTACATCTTGCACAGTTTTGTTTACAAATGAAGACTGAGGGTCACTCACTATGTTGTGTATGTTTGATAAACAATATGGGATCAACTGATGGGTGGGACATGTTAACAAGTATTGGAAAAAGTATGCTATATGATTCATATTTGATGTGGTGTCTATGATTTCCAAACACTGGTTGATGTGAGCCTGAAGTGGTTTAGTGAGTTTGCGATGTTTAAATCTGTATAGAAACTTTTGGATCAATTGATCATGAAATTTAAAACTTCTGTTTGCAAGAAAGTATTTGATGATCTCTGTGTAGGATGGAGTCAGTATCTTGACTATGTTCCCCACATGATAGTTGTGGTAGTCAACTCCAAACTCTCTTAGTAAGTTCTTCACCCTGGGATCAATCGTATCTTTTAGTCTATCAATTATCTCTTGACCAAAGTTAGTGAAATTAGTCGCAAAAACAAGAAGAGAAAGTTGTTCTTACCATCAACGGCATGTCCCGTGTCCCCTCTAATATGAAGTATAACAAGTGCTAGTGCAAAGGTGAAGTTGATCATTAGTAGCAAAGGTTTAGTTGGTTGCAAAAATCATTTCCCCTGGAAAATGTCTGTATATTTTCTTCTTGAATTTGAAGTAACAAAGACTGGAGCAGTCAGATTCAAAGACCTGGGAAAACAGGGAAAGAGTGTCGGCGACCGGCTTAAGAGAATATTGTAATACAAGTACAATAAGACCTCTTTTGTTAGAAGAGATCAGAAGTACATGTTTTCGGAACAACACATTTGCTTTTTGCAAGCAAGAATGCTTCCACTATAGCAAAGAAAAGAAACCTCCGTATGACAGGATGTCACTGGCCTTTTTTATTTTGGCTACGAGAAGGAATTCCGTGCAAGAGTATTTCCTTCCTTAATTTCAGTAGTTCAAAAAGTTGACATGAACATCTATTGGTGTATACAGTTTTGATGTACTGAAAAGAAGCTTTGCGAGTAAAAGTTGACTAAAGTAAAATAAAACCTTAAATGATGTGAATCCCTTTGGTTCCGTGAAACATTGACACACACACACACCAGCTGTTCCAGTAGTGACACCCACTTAAGGAACATATATTGAAATGGAACTACACTATAGCCGCATTCACGCACGGTGCCCGAAGAAGTAGGCCACATGAACAGCAAAATGCTGACATTGCAAGCACAAACAAATACTAATCACTACAAAATGCTGAAATGTAAAGTAGAGGCAGCAAGCAGTCAGTTTATTGGTGTAACAACCGCGGGTGCAATAGCCATTAGCAATCGCAACCACTTAAAAACATGACGTCGTAGGATTTACTTTGCAAGAACGGATTTCGCATTTCGGTATCCGCACACAACGAAGGTTTTTTAGTGAAAGTAAAAGCTTGATCCTGCTGAAATATATATATAAGCACATTCGAAGTTATTGATTTTAGTACAAGTCCCCTATTATCTACACTATGTCTTAGTTACTCGAAAGATAGTATTTGAAATCAGCATGTTGTCTTATCTTAAAAGAAGCAAACGTCATACGTGTGTATTCGTTGTTGCAAATAACTGTAGGTATAAAGTAAACTCCATATAACGCCACATATAGAGAAAAAAAAAAAAAGAAAGAACCCGAGACGAAAGTACACAACAGACAACAGACAACAGACAACAGACAACAGATAAGAATAAGAATAAGAATAATAATAAGAATATTATACAGTATACAAATTACAAACTCAACACTCAGCTTTCAGTAAAAAGAAAATTAAAAAAAAAAAAAAAAAACAAAACAAGGAGGAAACAACAAAATCAAAACTTCAAATCACACACAATTCTTCAACAGAAGACTCATCTTATAATACATAAACACTACTTAGGAACAAAACTCTTTTTCATCCTTTCAAACAAGACAACACTCATAGAATACTTACTGAAGTTGTATTCATTAACACCACACGCAACTTCAAAAAGAGGATACTTGATTTTTTTTTTTTTTTTTCTTTCTTTCTTTCTCCGGCACACAAAACTTCCCGAAAAGAAAACCAAGGCATTCACTTAGACACACCACCATACACACGTTGTTGTCTCTATAAGGTGAAGCTTGCAATACAATATTTTTCACAACCAAACTTTATCTTCGAAATCTACTAGAGAGCAAGGTTGAAGATAGCTTCCACCACCAATTTCACCCGTCATCATTTGAGCTACTTGCTTTTAGCTGTTTTCTTTTCAAATTTCACCCCATACTGTCACTGCTTGATGCTGACTAATAATTATACAGTGGGATTCGACCCGCATGTCCCGGTCCTAGTACCAGATGGTACAATACAGCAGAATATGCCCCAACAGCAGCAGCAGCAGCAGCAGCAGCAACAACAACAACCGGTTCCTTTTCCCGAGATTTCTGGTGCAGAAGCTGCGTCCACCAGCACGACAAATTTCAACATAAACCATAATCAACATCCTCAACAGTTGCAACACCAGCAGTTTCAACAAGCCCAATCACAAGCTCTTAATGCTAGGTACCAACAACAACGTCAACACGCCCAACAGCAGGTTCAGCAATTACAACAGAAACAAGCACAAGCACAAGCACAAGCACAAGCACAAGCACAGGCACAGGCACAGGCACAGGCTCAGTCTCTACATCATCATCACACTAGCTCGCAGAGTTTGTCATCTCAAGATTTACAGGATGTTGCCATGGACACCAAACCATCTCAACCGCAACAACAAAGCAAGAAATACACGTCAGAGCATAGACCGCCGCTACAAACACAGCAACAAAAGAGTTTCAACCATCACTTGCTCAACTTTCCTGCTCATAATCCATTTGATTTCAATTCATACCCAATTACAAATCCACCTATATTTGATTCCACTTTGATGTTGCCATACTCGATAGATGGTGTACCTAGAAGAAGAAGAATTTCAATTTCAAATGGTCAAATTGGTCAGATTATGAATCATGAAGCATTCTTTGATAACGATGAGTTTAGTTCCTTGGATGATGATTTCACTCAACGATTCAATGAGTATGAGTTGAATAGGCCAGCAACGCCTACTCAACAGCAGCAGGCGCAGCAACAGGAAGTACCTCCTTCGCAAGTCGATGCCCACCAACAACAGCAACAGCAACAGCAGCAGCAACAGTCCCAAGCTGGATTTATCGGTGACAACACACATCAAGGTTTTGCTAGTATTACTCCTGCAAGTGATAATGAGTCTTCCGTGAGTACCATACCTGCTACCTCTGTTCAAAATATGTCATCGGCAAGCTCTGCCCCATTGTCTGCACAACCAGAGGTGAGTGTACAGCAGCAACAACAGCTTCACAATCAACTTCATCACCAGCTAGTGCAACAACACCAGCAGCCCCATAACCCAATACACCCACATGGGCAAGTACAAGCACAACATGTACAGGTTCCACGAGTACCACCCCATCCGGTACAATCAGCACCACGAATTCCCACACAAGCTGCTCCTCCACAACAAGAACAAGAATCGGTGCCACCTCGCTCAAACTCCCCTCCAGTAGCTGGGGTGCCCCCACCCAACCACTCCTTAATCTACAACAATGAAGTCATTTACAATCCAAACAATGGGCCCATAATGGGCACAGCGGCATGGAAGAAGGAGCGATTGTTGGAACGTAATCGAATTGCGGCTTCCAAGTGTCGACAACGGAAAAAACAGGCGCAATTAGCGTTGGAGGAGAATGTTACCCGGATGGAACAGGATTTGAAACGGAAACAGGAGCAATTGGAGAATTTGCAACTGGTTTTGAGTCATTACAAGATGAATATCACGACATATTTGGAGAGTGAGGAAAAGGATGAAAAGTTGTTGAAGGATTTGATTGAGTTTATATAGGTGGTTGTGGCTGCTTCGATTTTGGTTTAAAAGGTCCAGGGATAACAGAAAGTCACTCTTTTCATATACCTATTACTTTCATTTTAACATGCTATGAATTTTGCTAATATTATAGATTTCCTTTTGATAAACACATAGTAAACCCATTTTTTTTATACAGATGAAGAAATTCAACACTCACCACCGACCCGCTTAGCCGTTCAGCCGCTCAGCTTAGGCAACCCTTTTTCGTTAATCAAGGATTCAGAAGTCACTTGAGGTCCTACGCCAATTGAAGTCAAAATGACTCTGGACACTCCACTCCACTGCTCCTCTTGCTCGTATTTCTTCCCATTCCATCCATCAACATGGCCAAAGTGCCTATGCAAGGCCAGCAACACTTTATCCTCATCCTTTTCATCATAATACACAACGGCATTCGGACCAGCATCAAAAGTGTACGCAGCTACAATCTCGCCCTCATCAGAGTTCAATTTCTCAACCAATTTAATAACACGCTTACTCGTATCATTCAAATAAAAAATCGGCGGGTACGAGTCCAAACACACAGCATGGAACTGATTCGAATCCTGCATTGTCAAGCGACCAAACTTGGCAAAATCCTTATCCAAAATCGCTTGCTTCATCTCTTGGAACCTTTGCGGAACAACATTGTCAATCCTATACTGAAACAAACTCGACGTTTGCACCGTCAATTGCATCCCCGACGTACTTGGTGTATCCTTCTTATCATCAGAAACAACCAAAATGGCCGCTTTCAAACTGGGCCAATGCAGCAACGGAGCCACTTCAACCGCTTGCGAATCCTCGCCGGTGGCCAACTGACCCATTTCCCAAGCAACAAACCCACCAAACAATGATCGGCACGCGGACCCGGAGCCCTTACGAGCAATCTTGCTCAACTCGGAGCTCGATGTGGGCAACTGGTACAACTTGGCAATGGCGCTGATCAAAGCGGCAAACCCAGCAGCAGATGAAGCTAAGCCGGCAGCAGTGGGGAAGTTGTTTTCGGAAACAATGTGCAATTTGTATCTCGACAATGGCGGTACCACCTCCACCGCCGCGTCTGCGTTTGCTTTTGCGTCATTCTTTTGTGCTTTTTCACTTTCTTCTTCCAATTGCTTACGCAATTGACGCAAATCGGCAAGACAAGCTTGAGTTCGTGGCGTATCCAATGACTCGAGCTTGCCATTGAGCCATAATTGATCCTGTTCAAAATCAGGCGATGCTGAAGCAGTAGTCAATGTTCGCAAATCATCCTGGGATAAAGTGACTGAGATTGATGAGTTGGTGGGTAAGTTTAGGTTCTTGTCACGCTTGCCCCAATATTTGAGTGTCTGCAATTGGAATTGAGTTAGTACATGTATATGAAGACATGAAAATGGAGTTGCACCTCGTTTCTGGTGAGGTATTCCTATTATTCGGAATTGTACATACAGCAATGTTGACTGGAGCAGTGACTGATGCTTGGTAGATCATTGGGGATAGTTTAGCTGATCCGAGGTGAGGTAGAGTTACTCGTGGTGGTTGCCAGATGGGTCCATATTTTTTCAGTTTTGTTGTTTCCATTTTTTTTTTTTTTTTTTTTTTTTTTTTTTTTCAATTCGACGCGGCGACGAATTCTCAAAACCGTAAACGAAGCTATACGAGATGAAGAGACAAAGTCATGGCATCTCTGAGGTAGAGTTATAATTACATATATAAATGAAGTTTATATTACTACTAATACAAAACACAAAAAACAAGACAAACTGCTTTCCAATGAATGAAACGAAAACCAGTCAATGTCGTCTCTTTCCACATACTCAAGACATCATAATCCCACAGCACGGCCAACATTCAACTCTACTCCTTCCCCACCCTTGCACATTCTCTAGTGTCTCCTGTTTTCTTTCCTTCCTCTCCCCCCCCTTTTTCTTTTCTCTCCCAACTTTTCTTTTTACTTTCTTGTCCACTTCCAAATTCTAGCTTTGCAATCACCAGACCCAGTGGCAAAGATTCCTTCAGTTGCCAGCAAATTCGAAGAAACAGCAACTGAAATAACAGAGTTCCTATGTCCTTGCAACATCAACAACGGATTAGCCGAGGCTTGGTCCCAGAATATGACACCACGGTCCTTCGAACCCGAAAGTATATACTCATTATTAGGAGTACAGCAAACCGACAAGACAAAATCCTTGTGTCCGATATAAGTTGCTTCACAACTGGAGTTTTTATCCAGTTTTCCATCCAAATTCCACAATTTAACAGTTCTATCCAACGAACCGGAAGCAATTTGATGGCCAGTGTTTGAAAATGCAACTGAGTAAACTGAATCTTCGTGTCCATTGCCATTGTCATTTCCAGAATCTAATCTTTCAACAAGGAACCCAGTGGTTGAGTCCCACACACGAACAGTACGGTCCAAAGAACCAGCAGCAATCAACTTCCCATCGGGAGAAACGGCAACTGTGGTGACGCCATCTTCAATGCTCAATGTTAATGAACATTGGGAGGATCTCCAACTCCAAATACGAACTGATCTGTCACCGGATCCTGAAACCAAACGTTCTCCATCGGGGAAGAAATCCAATGAATAAATATCCTGTTCATGACCTCTCAAGACTTTAATGATTCTCTTTGTTGTTAAATCCCAGATCCTAATCAAACGATCTTCAGCACCAGTAGCCAATAATTTACCATCGGGTGAAAAACAAACCGATCTAATGTACAAATCTCCATTGGATGAAGGTGTATCATCTTCTTTAGTTTCTGAATTAGATGAGTCATCAATCAACTTGGCAACCAATTCACCAGTTTCAACATTGAAAACTTGTGTCGTCTTGTTGCATCCAGTGGCTATAAATTTACCATCTTTGGAAAAACGAACACAACAAACAACCGATGAGTGGTCTAAAGAATGGATCAAATCCACATCTAAATCACGGGCAAAAGCTGGATTATACAACACATAGTAGTCGAGATTTTGCTTCTTGAAATCAGGGTTGGCTTTGGATACATCCAAATCCTGCAAGAATGGAGGTATTTCCTTGACATGGGCTGCTTTTTGAGCAGGGTTGACAATGTACTGAGACTTGTCAATGATGGTTAATGCATTACCGGTGGAAGAAGCAGGTACTGCTGATGTACCACCTGTTGCTGCCACGGGAGCAGCAAGGGGTGACGCTTGTGTTGGGATGGTTTGTTGTGATTGTGTAGCAGCAGCAGCACCAGTTGGTGGTGGTGGTACTTGCTGACCTGGTTGTTGCTGTTGCTGTTGCTGTTGCTGTTGTTGTGGTATAGGAACAGAAGCAGGTGGCTGCTGTTGTTGAATTGGAGGTGGCTGATGTTGTTGGACAGGTTGAGGTTGAGGTGGCTGTTGCACTTGTTGTGGTTGCGATGGCACCTGTTGCTGTTGCTGTTGTGGTTGTTGTTGTTGTGGTGGTGGTGGTTGCTGTTGGTATCCGTTCTTCATCTGTCTATCCCTGTTTTCCAATTCAGTCTTTAACCTCAAAATCTCTTCTTCGTAAGCCTCTTTGATTTTTCTGTGGGCCATTTCCAATTCATAAACAGTCTGTCTAATCTGTTGCAATTCGGTGTTTTGTTGAGAATACTTTAAATGGTACTCATCTTCAATTTTCTTGAAACTGGTGGCTTCATTCAATGCATAGTCAAACTCAGACTTGATAGCATCCAACAACTCATTGAGACGAGTTTGATGGTTCCTTTGATTATATACTGACATTTAGCCTTTCTTTGCTTTGGTGTCTCTGGTGATGTCAGTGGTAAATGAACGTGTATGTGTGTATATGTGAGATAATTTGTAGTAGTAGTAGTAGTAGTAGGTAGTCAGAGATTGTATAACGTGAGAGTTGTGACGTTGAAAGTTTTTTTTTTTTTCTTCTGCTTCTTTCTGCGTTGTTGTTGTTGTTGTTGTTGTTGTCTGTTTGTCTGTTTGTTTCTCTGTCTCTCTCTTTAAAAAGCAAAGAGAAAATTTTGTTTGGTTTTTGTTGACTTTCTCTTTGTGTTGTTTGTTGTAAGAAAGAAAGGAAAAAAAAAAAATAAAATAAAATAAAAAATAAAATTATCACCAAATGCCAAAAACACACTCATCCAACCAACCAATCCAATTTAATCACCAACAACCAGTACCAAAAGCAAAAAAAAGAAAAAAAAAAGAATCAGTTTACACACAACGCTCGCACAAACTATATAAAACCTGCACAACCCATTGCATACACATGTAACTCGATTTTTGTCTGAATAGCATACACATTTTCAAGTTGACTGCGCACCCTCACAACTTTCTCAATATGACTGCGAGCGTCCTCTTTCCCACCAGTCCTTTGCAGCGGAGCGGAATTAATTTTTTAATTTTTTTTTTTTCTATGTTTTTATTTTTTTACCCCCTAATTATTCAAATTCCATTTTTACACCCCATAGATGGCTAAAAATTCTTCACCCCCTATTTTCGTGTACCTTTGGTCATGAAAATGGGAATTGCAAACACAAAGAAGAAGTTAAATTGTCTTTGCCTCTAAGTATGTGCGTGTGCGTTTCTCGAATAGATTGTCGCGCGACATGGATACTGCGCACGCTTAGTAAGAGTACTACAACTAACTCTATTTGAAACCATATACACTACGAAAAAACTACAGTGGATACCAATACTTGTACATGTTCATTATCGCTAGACCACCCAGTGCTCTTCTACACACACACGCACACACACACACACATTCGCACTATAACCCAACTTTCCCAATACCAGCATTCAATAGAGCATTTTGGGATGCCAACCGTTCATGCTCCGCCAACTCTCTTCGCGTAATGGTGTTGCCTCTTCGCCTTTCGCTTGATTTACTAGCACCACCAGTCCCGCTCGCGTTACTGTCACTCGACTTTGATTTCCAAGTTGGTGATGGTGACGTAGACACTCTAGTCAATTTCGGTGGAGCTTGACTGGATGATATTATCAGTTCGTGTTTCTTTGATTGAACCGATTTGTAATTTGATTCACCATTCCTGAGATCAATTAATTCAGGCTGCTTTGCATTTTCTTTGCCTTTTCTTGTCGCATCCTGTTCACTCTTCACATTCTCTTTTTCTTTGCTCTTCTCGTCCTTTTCTTCTTCTTCTTCTTCTTCTTCTTCTTCTTCTTCTTCTTCTTCCTCTTTGTCATCTTTGTCCTCCCCTTCGTCATCTTCATCTTCTTGCGGTGGTCCCAACTTCTTCGAAACAAAATCAACAACCTCTCGCCATGATCTCATACCACCCATGGCAATATTCCCATCCATATCAACACATTTCTCAACTGGTTTCAAAATAGTCATGTTGGGATACGTTTCCTGCAACAATCCCAACTGTTTCTTGGTGATAGGATGCGAATACATTGAATTCGTCAATGCCAATGCTGCGACTATGGGTTTTGGTGCAACCAAGTTGTTTGACAAGATTGTTGTGTCCTTTTTCATCGAGTCTGGTTGTAGGGGTTGGGGCTCTACTTGCTGTTGTTCTGATTGTTGCTGTTGTCGTGGCGCAAACACAACATTCGATGATTGTGCAGAATTGGTGGTATTAGTTGCAGTCAACGCAACAGTGGATGACGTAGGTGGTGGAGATGCCACTTGCAGCTGTTCGGAAACATAATGTATTTGCGGCATAGGCCACACATGCAACAACTCGGTCAACAAATTATCAGCCAACCCATTAATCAACTTAGCCATAGTATTGGCACTCAAAGGCGCCAACAACAACACATCAGTCCATCGTTGCAAATCATACGATAAATTATACTGTTGAAATACATGTGGTCCAATTTGTTTCTTCAATGGTAATTGTCCCAGTGCCACAGCTTTGGAATAAACTTTTTGAAATGGTGATGTAAGAAAATACTTTTCACCATCATCACTAAACCACACCTTGACTCCCATTTCATCAAACTTGTACAATTTCTCCAGCAAGATATATTCGGCTGATTTCGTCAAAAGAACTTGAATCTCCAATTTCTCCTTGGTGTACAACTCAAACAACTTTTCAATTATGAGAAAAATATTCTTGTGAATCGATATGCATCCAGTTATGCCAATGAGTAAATGCAATTTGTTATCATCGGATGAAGCAATGGCACCTTCATCATGTGGTTTAATCTCAGCGGCTGATGTATTGGCTGATTGTCGCGTAGACTCGATAAACTTTTTGTCATCAATCTGAGAATACGTTAGTGAATTCATACGCGAGAAACTGGGTGGAAGCTGCAGCTGGGAAGAAGAGGAGGGCGGTGGTGGTTGTAGTTGGTGATGCTGTTGGCTACTCAGTTGTGGGAAAAATACTGGTGGGGATACGGCGGATTTGGTCGATGGTGGTGGAGAAACCAAGCTGGAAGTTACACTACCTTGAGACGAGATAAGTGGAGTACCGTTGAATCCAATAGGCGCATACTCTTCCAATTGTGAGCCTGGTGCCAATCCGTGTTGAGTAGGACTAATGGTATCCGTTGATATAAATTGGGGGTGTTGATCCAGATGTGGCGTGGTTTCTGGTTGATGTTGATGGTGTTGTTGTTGTTGCTGCTGCTGCTGTGCCGAGGTGGGTAGTGCTGGCAACGACTGATCAACCTTGGATGAAGACTGGGATAAACAGGATTTCAAATTTGGGTCTTGTTTGACCACCAAAGATGGGAGCTTCTTGTTAGCAGATGACGTCAGCGAGTGTTGGTGGTTATGTGCTGCTGCTGCTGTTGCTGCTGCTGCTGCTGATGCTGATGCTGATGCAGACTTTGAATTGGACTCCTTGGTAGCCACTAAATCGCTCTCTCTCAATTGAGAAGGCTTCTTGGGGACAGGTTGGTGTAAATAAGTCGCATTTGGCTCCTCTTGAGGCCGATTCAACCTGACTGTCGTGCTGACGTTTTCATCTTCTTGGTTTTTTGACGTCATTTATGATGTTTAGATATGCGGGATTATTTTATTGACGTACTTTGGGTTTATTGTGACTATTTGAGGGATGTTACGCCTCGATATTCGATGGCTTGATGTGAATCAAGGTTGGAAGTTAGGGGTCACTTCCTCTTTATACTGCAAAAATTGAGAAATGAAGTGTATATCTTTGAATTCAAGTACGAGTTGGATGACTAAAGCCACTCAGAAATGTTGACATTTTTTTTTTCTTCTTGCTTCTGCTTTCGTTTTTTTCTCTCTTTCCTTTTTCTTTTTTTTTTTTATCTGGCTTTTAATCTTCCTCTTTCAGATTGTGTGGTTACCTTATGTGTCAGAAAGGATTACGAGATTGTGAAAGCTCTACGTAGCCGTCATGCAAAGTAGTGTAATAGATCAGTAACCAGGGCTCGCCACGATGGAGCTTCTCTGTGAAGGTTACGTCAGTCTATGGTAAAGACTGTGGCTCTACATACACCGTTTTTTTTATTATTTTCCCTAATTTCCTCAAACATGTATTTGGATGACCTCGATGGGCGCATTAGATTTCATTTATCGAAATGATAGCATCGTAGTGAAGGTGGCAAATTGTTTTTTATATTACAGAAACATGCAGAGAGGAACGGTGGCAAATCAGTTGGAAAAAACGTGGTAACAATAGAACCACATCAATCAAAGTCACGCGTGTAACATTGTGTGATGTGTTTATCGTCGATAAACTGCAACGGTGGAAGTATCTTCGGTTAATCGAAGTAGGTTAGGTCACAAAAAGACCAAGGGGTGGTTCATCACAGTATGGTAGCAAGGGAACTCGGGGCTTGGTTTATTTCTTGTTTTCCGACATTTTCATCCGTGTTTCAGCAGATTTATATATTATAAAGCCAGGATTAAAGGACAAATACTAAAGACAACGACGTAAAGAGCAGAGATATCTTTCACCAAAACAGAGAGACAAAGAGACAAAGAGACAGGGAGACAGAGAGATAGGGGGAGGGAGTAGAAAGATATCAAAGCACTCTATAGTCTCTCTAGTAACGACAACGTAATTAATTACCCGACTAGGAAAAGATAGGAGCGCTACCTTTGAGGGTTGTGTTGTGTTGTGTTGTGTTGTGAGGCGGATAATAAATCATATGAAAAAATTAATTATCCGCAGTTAATTTAGCCATAGGTACACGCACAATAAATTCAAAACATTTCTTGTATAGATTACTACTTACTACCAATAGGATACCCCACGTAAATTACACAACAAAATTTTTTTTTACTTTACTTTACTTTTCTATTTGTTTGTGTTTCTTGTGATGGATTAAAATATTTGTAAATAGTACAGGAGCTATATTGTGTATCCTTTCTTCATTCTCTGTCTCATTGCTTTCTTTGCTTCCTTATCCTTCTTCCCGGCTCCACCCCCTTACCCCCGCGCGCATTCCCTTGGAATAGACATATTTAACTTCTATTGTATAAAAAGTCTTCAAAACATCCACAACTTTATATTACTTTTTTCTTCCCCCCCCTCTTATAAGTTACTTTAGCACTTACCAGTCTGTTTTGCTAAAATAAAGAAAGTTAAGTAATAATGGCTCCTACATCTACTGCTTCTGACGTGTCTTCTTCCAAGATTGAAGAATCATACGCTGAAATTAACAAAATCAACTCCAACTCATGGTACACCCCTATTGATCAGATTGCCCCCAAGGTGCAAAAAGTCACTGACGCATTTTTCCAAAAGCAAAAGACTCAAGATATCCAATTTAGATTGAACCAATTGAGAAATCTCTATTTTGCAGTTAAAGATAATGAGGATGCTTTGATTAAAGCTTTAGAACAAGATTTCTACCGTTCTCCTTTCGAAACTAAGGCCTTGGAGATTGAAGGTGGATTGAATGAATTGGTTCACACTATGGCCAAGTTGCACGAATGGTCCAAACCTGAAAAAGTTACTGATTTGTCAATTTCCATGAAGTTGAATCCAGTCTACATTGAAAGAATCCCATTGGGCGTGGTTCTTGTCATCACTCCTTTCAACTATCCTTTCATCTTGACTCTTGCATCCGTTGTTGGTGCTATTGCTGGTGGTAACCACGTTGTTTTGAAACAATCTGAATTGACGCCAAATTTCTCCAACTTGTTTTCAGAAATTTTCACAAAAGCATTGGACCCAGACACTTTTGTTGCCATCAATGGAGCTATTCCTGAAACTACTGAAGTGTTGAATCAAAAATTCGACAAGATTATCTACACTGGTAACGGTGTCGTTGGTAGAATTATTGCCAAAAAGGCGGCTGAGAATTTGACACCATGTATTTTGGAATTGGGTGGTAAATCTCCTGCTTTCGTTTTGGATGACGTTTCTGACAAGGACATTGTCACTGTGGCTAGAAGAATTGCTTGGGGTAAATTTACCAATGCAGGTCAAACATGTGTCGCTCCTGATTATGCCTTGGTCCCCGCCAAGCACCATGCCAAGTTTGTCTCTGCCATCAAAAAGATTGTCGAACAAGACTTTTATCCTTCTTTGAGTACCGGCACCAAGGATTACACTCATGTTATCCATGACCGTGCTTTTGGTAACCTTTCCAAGATTATCGCCAACTCCAAAGGTGATATCGTTACTGGTGGGTTGAGCAAAGCTGATTCTGAAACCAGATTCATCCCCCCAACCATCATTGACAATGTCACTTGGTCAGACTCTACTATGCAACAAGAACTTTTCGGTCCTATTTTACCAATCATCCCATATGACAATTTCACCGACACCATAAAGGAGATTGTCAGGCAACATGACACTCCATTGGCGCAATACGTCTTCACCAGTGGATCAACTTCTCCAGCAAAGAACCGTCAATTGAAGCAAGTCATCACCAGTATCCGTTCAGGTGGATTGATTGTCAATGATGTCATGATGCACGTTAGTTTGACAAATGCTCCATTTGGAGGTATTGGAGAGTCAGGATACGGTGCCTATCATGGAAAATTCTCATTCAGAAACTTCACCCACGAGAGAACAACCATTGAAACTCCATTGAACAATGAAAAGATGTTGATGTCGAGATACCCCCCATTCACCAGTGGTAAGGATGAGTTGCTTGCTGCTGCTCAACAAAGTTACAATGGTAAAGTTTGGTTTGGAAGACGTGGCAATGTTCCAGTTGCTGGACCGGGTACCTTTTTCGGTGTTTGGCACTCTATTGCTGGTGTTTTTAGTTTGATTGGAAAGTTTGCCACTACAAAGACTTGAGGTGATATTAGATTATTAGATATTTTTGGTTTTATAGGTTTCAAAACTATACAAATTACACACGATTAAAGAACGAGCAAAACAACGTAGATAAAAAAATAAAAAATAAAGAATACGAAACGGAATGAACAACAACAACAACAACAACAACAACAACAACAACAACAACAACAACAACAACAACGGCGCACTTATTCCGAGATAAACGTAACCTCAGTAAACCCTATACCCTTTTCGGGTGCTTTGCCGTTCTCTTCAATCTCAAATTCATTGCTGTATTGGTAGATATAAGGCTTGGCACCAGCAACACCATTCACAATATTCTTCACAAATTGTGGAATTTCAGCCATCACATCTATTCTCTCAATCATATTCTTCAACTCTCCAGTAACCTTGTAGCCTCCAACAGGAAACTTGAATTCAATCTGTTTGGGAACTGGCCATCCAACCGAATCAACTTCAGAATTCAAATGAACAACCTCATTATCAATAGTTGCAACAAGTATCTTTTCATTATCAGTTACAATTCCAATATTGACCTTGGTATTGGCGTATGATTTAGGAGTGGTAAACTCCATTTGGACAGCAGCATAATTACTGCTTTGGAAATTCATAAAATTCCATGATTTAGCAGCATGGTGCGGCTTCATTCCTTGCAAAGCCATTACAAACATGGTGTACCCATTGGTGATCTTCACCTCGCCCAATTTCTTGGTCAAGATACGACCATTGATGCTACATCTGGGCCAAAAAAGATGTCTCATTGACCCCCAGGGTTGATTTATATCATCACCGTAAAACGTCATTCCATCATCGCCGAAAATGACGCCATCGGTTAATCTCTCAACTTCCAACTCAACAATCGATTCATTACAAACAAATGATCTCAATTTATAAGTTTTTGAATCAACCATTTCAAATTTCAAATTATCAGCCTCGAAATTGACGCCATCGACAATCTTGAAATTCTCCAATTTGGTACTGGTCCAAATCGTCTTTGATGGGTCTTTGATGTTATAGAGACGAAAAGTAAATTGGGCAGTGGTGTGAACACCCATAATGTTTGAATGAATCAATTGACAAAATCCAACATTATTGGTGGCCAAATCGGTGAAATAAAAAGTTTGAGTCTCGACATTGGTGTAGTTGGGTTTCTGCCATGTGAAATCGGCGGACTTTGTAGGACGTGAAACCTTGTTTTCTGACTTGAAATCCTCAGGAATACGTTTGGTGATGGGGTGAATGGCATCGGGACCATACTCTGGCTCTTGGGTACCAGCAACAGCAGCAATGCCACCTTGTATATATTTCCACATAGTGTTTCTAGCAGTAGTAGTAGTAGTAGTAGTTAGTGAGTGCAGTGCAGTGCAGTTAAGTTCCTCTACTGTCGGTATGTGTAGATATGTAAAGAACCTGTAATTGTTGTAATCTGCACAAAGGAAAAGAAAGATACTCTCAAAGGGTAAGAAACTGAAATCCGCTGAGTGAAAAGAAGAGGGAATGATTGCCTAAATGAGTGCAAAGACAGAAAAGAAGAGAGTGAGAAACATTTTTTTTCTCCTTTGCTATTTATTAAGAAGTCACGTGTAACGCAAGTATAAAGCCGAGGAAAACGACAGTGCTATTGACTGCCTCCCACAAGTTTGTCCAGTACAAGTTTTCGTAGCTTGTTTCTTTTTTAAGGTTCGGACTGACTGGTTGTTGTTTTCTAGTTACTTGTCAAGTATACAAAAGTTCGGCTGTCTTGCTCTGCGTCATATAAGACACTGTCATATACTATGATCAACAAGTTGCTCTTTCTCCCTTGACTCGTTCGTCATACTCCCACAACTGTGCCTTCCAATCAGCCAACATATTATGCAACTCTACCAACTTTTTCAAATCCTTCTTGCTATTGTACAAGTCAATATACTCTTGATACTTGGTTTTGAACTTTTGGGCCAAATTGACATAGTACTCTGTAGACTCCTCTGCTCGACTGGGGACCTTTACATACTAATAACTGGAGTTAGTTCTAGATCAAGTGAAAAATCAAGTGAAATCAATCTGCTTCTAACATACGTAGTTTCCATTGGCTACGACGAGCTTGACTCTGGTCGTGCTCAACTGTTTGATCTGCTCCACTATGTCATTGCTTAGCGTAACCACTGTAGTATCCTTGTCTAGTGGAGCTCTCACAGAAGACATTTGCAGGAATGTTAATTGCAGTCGTTTGAAACTGAGGAGTGTGTGTATGAAGTGATCTATAATATGTGTGGGTTATGTGATGTTTTAACCGTCGCTACCAAAACCTAAGATGGTAGCACCAAGCTCAACAAAAAAAGAAAAAATAATACAAAGCTCCTACCACACTGCGCTGAAAAATTTTTCACTTTTCTATTTCCTCTTCTTCTTACCTTTTTACTCAATATCAAGACAAAACAAGCACAATGGCAAGAGGCCCGTATGTTTTTTTTCTTCCGTACTAGTTTCAGCAATGAAATGAAGTGGAGAATGAAGAAGTAAGCCCATGATGTTATGTCATGGCAGCACCAGTTGATTGATTATTTCAATCAACTTAGGATTTTAAAAGGGAGCCTTGTCTTTTGTACTTCTTTATCTCTTTGATTTCAATCATTGAAGTGTTTGCACCGGAATAAATACTAACCCTCTCCTGTTTTTTTTATTCAGAAAGAAACATTTGAAGAGATTAGCAGCTCCATCCCACTGGATGTTGGACAAATTG